TTCTCGTCTTCTTACTAGTTCAATCAAGCAGTCATCAAGATCGGATCGCCGTCCTACAAGTCAACACCACTTACACAGAGATCACCTCCAATACACACAGATTGTCTCCAACTAACACGTAAGGTATACACATTCGGCTTACTACCAACACACGGATCGACCTCACTGTACGTAAGTCACGCTATTACACACGTTCTTACGTGCCATCAATGCACCGAGATCGACTCCACACGTAAGCTACGCTATTACACACGTTCTTACGAATCACTAACACACGGCTCCGTGAATTAAGTAAGCAGCAATACCTAGACAACGGCATCATTGCCCTTCATCAGTGACGTCACACACCAACGCCACCAGTCAGGCCTCTCCAGCTTATCGGTAGCGGCACAGGCCTCTCCAGCTTATGGGTAGCGGCACCGGCGGCATCCTCTTCACGGCATCATCATTGCCCTTCATCAGTAACGTCACACACCAGCACCCCCACTCAGGCATCTCCAGCTTATCGGTAGCGGCAACAGCGGCATCAACGCTTGCCCCTCACCAGTGACGTCACACCAGCGCCACCACTCAGGCCTCTCCAGCTTATCGGTATCGGCAACGGCGGCATCAACGCTCCTCCCTCACCAGTGACGTCACACACCAGCGCCCCGACTCAGGCCTCTTCAGCTTATCGGTAGCGGCAACGGCGGCATCAACGCTCCCCCTTCACAGCGCGACACTCTTCACGGCATCATTACCCGTCATCAGCGTATCTTCCACTACCACTACGAGTCATAACCACCAGTAGGAGAATCACGCGTCACATCAAAAATACACTTACAAGATTATCACTCATATTACCTGAAGAAACTCTCACCTATTCATTGTATCATACATTCAATCTCACCTCAATAGACCACTGATTATTTATTATATCATTATATTCAATAAAAGGAAAACCAACTCATTCAAGGGCAGTGTTGAATTATTGCATTGTCCATTCCACTTGCCAGCAAGCCTCCCCTCATCATCTCACGGAAGCTTTTAGTCTGATCTCAGACAATAGTGTTATTTCATTTTCTAATTTTAGTGTCTATTAAGTGTTAGTATATTTAGTGTCTATAAAGAAGGGATTTATGAAATAATTTTATTTAGTTAATAGTTTATGCGATACCCTTATCGAAAAATAATATTGCGAAAACAGGTTACACTAACTACTCATTTATTTAGAAATTCATAAATATATATATTTAAAATCTTATTTTTTATTTAACTTAATATTTAATTCATCAAAACAAAATGAAACATATATATATATATGTGCCTGTGTGTGCATAATGAATTCAGCATAAAAGATAAAGACACAAAAAATTAATTTGTTGAAAATACTATTTTATAATTTGAAAAATAGATCTCTAATATTTGTACTTAATTTGTGCATGAAAAATTATTGAAGAAAAATAAAAACTTTATAAAATTATCTTTTTATAGAAGTATATTTATATCATATATGTTGTACAATTTTAAATGAAAAATTATATTTTAACGTAAGTTTTATATGAATAATTTTTATTAAACAATGAAAATATTTTTACCTTTTATAATTATTTAATATTAATATTTCAGCGATTATTTCAATAACAAACGTGGTAACATTAATTGTATATTTACTATATAGTTAGTATGATTGATTTCTTAGACATACAGAATCATAGTTGGATGGTTTTTTTCAAAAATTACTTAGGCCTTTTTATATAGATTTAACGTTTTTTTGCAAAGCCAAAAATCAATTGCTACCTCAATAATTGCTAATCATAATTTGCTACCTCACTGTAGTTCTTACATTTGTATCAATTCTCCTTTACCATTGTTTTTCATTTTTCCATTTACTAACTTTTACATATTGACACATTTATCAAATCAAGCCAATCCTAAGTGACATACAAAGCATAATTGAAAGTAACTATATATTAAGATGGGATGAATATAAAGTTATTTAATTTAATATACTTTTATTAAATAATCATACAATGATTCTATAGCAATATTAATATAATTATTTTATTTACTTAATAATTATAATATATACAGTAAACTCTTCGGTATTACTCATGTCGCCATAATTTATATTAGACTATATATAATATAATAAATTATAAACACAGCTCACTATATTTATAAATCTGCATGATGAATGTTAATCAGAAACTTAAAAATCTATACTATTATAAAAATTTTCATAATTACGACGTTTTTATGTTCTTTTCTTTACAATACGATTTTATTTTTGTATGGTTTCATAACATTAGTATCAGAACTATTGGTAGTTCTACAATGTCAATAAATTTTCGCGCCATTATTTACACAATTGCACATAATATTCACATGCGCGTACACGCGCGAATTTGTATATAATGTTATGCAATTATAAAATCATATTTTTCTTTAATTAATGTAATCAAAATATTTACTAGTAATTATTTGCAAATTATGTCCATATTTTTAGTTATGTAATTCTTTCATAAATTTTTATAAAATGCAGATTTAGAAAATTTTTTTTTTTAATTTTGACAAAAAATATATAATAAAGTATGAAAATTCGAAAAGTGCAGACAATTAGAATTAGGCGCGAAGAATTTTAGACATACGTAATGTTTACGTAAAATTACATGATCACAATAGCGTTGATGTTACATGATAAAAATTTCGAGTTCACTCTGCTTTCTATACATTGTATTTTCATTTATTTCGTCAAATGCAATCAACTTTGATGAACTTAATAATTTTACATAATTTTACATAAGAAGATTGCTTTTGTTTATAAAAATTTTAGAAGACAATGCTGTACAACACAATCCGATAGAATCTATCATTCCATCGTGACAGAGTACTATTTAATTAATAATTCTTTACACATACATATAATGTGACATGCGTACGCGCGCGCACGCACATATGCACACACGCATTTTTATTAAATCTAATTGTCATTTTTAAAAAATATATGTGCTTTACTTGCCTCAAAAGAGGTTTCTATTGAATTTTTTTCGAAGTTCTATGCAACAAGATAATGTGCATAATAGCACAAAGACACTGTACAAAGAAAATGTAATTCTCATAATAGAAATATACAATGGTTTATATATGAAATGCAATATCCATTTTATCGAATACTGAAATAATGAATGGGAGGCATCTTTTCTACTAAAAGCTAAGTGATTTGAATAATTGGATAGAAAAAAAATTCAAAAATATCCCATGGTAATTGTAAAATTGCACAATTTCGTCATGAAAATGAAGAAAATAATTTTGCTAAGAAAACAAATATGTAAAATTTATACAGCAAAAATATATTCCTGGTGTAGATTATTAGTACAGTATTTATTTTTTTCTTTCTTACTGTTTTTTTTAAAGTAGTTTAAAAAAATCATTTACTGCTGTTTCGCGTGATGATTCTCGACTTATACATATTAAAATCGCTTTCCATTGAATAGCGAGATAAAGACTAAATCAACAAATGTAACTCAAATAAAAATTTATTCAAGTATATTTAAGCGCATATTTATTTACATATGCATTTGTCTTACGAAATAGCTTTCTTTTTTTAATCAAATAAATATTTATTTGAATCATCCTGTACACGCAAACGCACTTACACATGCATACATTTATAAGCATTACGCATTTATTTTAATAGAATAATTGCGCATCCATTGCGAAAAAGTGACATACCTATGAGACATAAATGGAGAGAAAGAATTCTCTATTTCATTAATAACCGTATTACGAATTTCAGGCTGATGGCAAAAAGAACACTAAGAATTAGCGTTAGGTGGTTGACGCGGTCGGTCGTAGTCTCTACGATAATCCTTGTTTGGTCGCCAATCAGCCTGATAACTATCTCCTGGGTAATTTCGACCCCCTCCCGTACCGCGGAAATGTGATGATGGTATGTCCGCAGGATATCCACTACCACTACTACCACTTCCACCACTGCCACTATAGCTTCCTGGACCAGCATAACCATATCCAGCTGGCCCACTTGGATATCGATAATAATCACTAAAATAATTAATGTACAGTTTGTTTTTATTTAAAACCAAAGTTATTAAATTAAATAATTTGATTTAATATATTTTTGAACATCTTATAAATATGTGACAAATCTAAAATAAGTTAATCAATTTTGTTACAGTGTGTACATATTTGTACTTCAAATTAAATTTCATTATAAAAAAAAATAACTTACTTTCCTCCTCTTTTTTCATTCATATGGATTCGATCACGCTCCCTATCTCTGTCTCGATGATATCCACCTGACATCCTGCTATATAGATCAAATCTATCGCGTTTGTGATCTCCAAATCTATAATAATTTTCAACTATTTTTCAGTGTATCATAATGCCCTGAATTATTAAATATTTCATTTTATATAACAAAAATTTATTATAAATATTTCGTGTAATTTTATTTCTCCAAATTATTTAACAATAACAATTTTAATCGAATCGAACCACGTTTTTAATATTCATTTTAGGTACACGTTAAAATAAATATTAAAATAAATTATGTTAAAATTAAATTTAAGCATAAATATGTACTTTGAAAAATTCTCTTTTATACTCATGATATTGATATCTAATGCAATGTTAAGTGTATACATACATTTTCTTACTTTCAATCAATGCAAGAATCTGTATATGTTTACCTAGTATCACGTGGATCTCTATCTCTAGACATCCAATGTTCTTCGTCTCTTCCTCCACTGTAATGTCCACCAACATATCCACCACTGTCTCGTCTAACTCTATCATCCTTCATAACATTCAATCTATCCATATTTCTATCGCCGTGACTTCTATCTCTGTCTCTATCTCTGTCTCGATCTCTATCTCTATCTCTGTCTCTATCTCTGTCTCTTTTGGAATCTTTGTGTTTACTGATAGGAATATCTTTTTGCTCTTTGTTATGCCGTTGAGCCGAGTCAATACTATTTGTATTTGATGTTAAGTTTTGACCAGCCGTGACCGGTGTTATTGTGATAGCACCGATTGTTACAGAAGAGGAAGTACCGATATTACCTAGCGTAGATGCAGAAATCATATGTTTTTTTATTGATAAGCTATTTGAATTCTCTTCGGAATCTTCTACTCGGCGTTTTGGTGCACGAACCTCCTTATTTCCACTTTCATTTGAATTTTTAGAATTATGCTTATCATCGTATTTCTAAAAAAGTATATGGTAGTAAGATCAATCACTTATCATAGACAATTCAATATAAATTAAAAAAAAAGGAAATTAATTTAAAAAATCTTTACTTAATTATTCAGTAGATAATATAAAAAAATTATTACCTTCGTAATATTAGTCTCGTCTTTTTTCTCTGGACTTGATGTTGCACTACCTCCTTCTTTCTTTGTTGCATGTTTATATAATTTATAAAGTTTTTTTGCATCAAATTCCGTAAATTTAGATACAAAATACCACAAATTACTTCGCCATTCTTTTATTTGTTCTGGATCTTTATATTCAGAAAGACAGGTATTTATTTGGTTGCCAATTTGTACAAGGCATTGACGAGTGTGTGCCACTTGTTCTGATTCACTAAGTGATTGATCCGGCCTATCTAAAGCTTTTAACGCCTTTTTAACAGGTCGCATTTTTTCTTTACACTGAAAAATATATATCATTAAAAATAGTAGTCTAGTACAGTTAAAAAAATTAATTTTCTTAATTCACCTCATTAAATATAGATGGATCTAAATCCCCTAAAACGTCAAGTGCTCTTGGTTCATTATTTGCAGTGAAATGCATTGGTCCAGATTGTTTGGCTTTTTTATTCTTTTTGGCTTCTTTTTTATCTTTTTTAATTTTTTTTTCTTTTTTTTTATCTTCTATTACTATATCATTTTCTTCTTTAACTTCTTTTTTAACAATGACTACTTCATCTTCTTTCTTAACTGGCTGCTGTATTTATTAACAAAATAATCAATGTTACTTTCAGTCAAAACAACAAATTAAAATGTAAACATTAAATTTTATTTATACCTTTTCAATCTTTGGTTTGCATTTTTTCTCATCGCCGGAACTTTCATTTTCTTCAATTATTTCTTTTGTAATAGCAGATTTTACATCCTTTGTTTTCCTAGGTTTTCTTTGTTTTGCCTATAAATATCGACAACTTCTGAATATTACATTAACTTTAATTTATGTATTCAATTATATAAAAACTGATTTATAATATTTGAATAAAAGTAAATTAAAATTTTTAAAAATTAATTTTTTTTATATGTTGTAGATAACAAAATAGTATTTGCAAGGTTATATTAAAAAATATCTTTTGTTTAACAAAAATAAAAAATATTTAAAATTAAGCGATTTCAAAATATCACAAAATTTTTTTGACTTTTGATAAAAAAATTTCTACAAAAATGTTCTTTAAGAATGTTTAATATAACATAATTGAAGACTAAGTTGTTTAACCCCTTAAAAATAATGGAAATAAAGGAAATTGGTTGTTTTACCTGGGATAATGGGTCAAAGGAAAAATTATAAAAATTAGTCTGTAAAAAAGGATGTTCGTTTTTAGAAAAATAAAATGAACAAACAGTAAATTTAAATGAATAAAATCTTACAACTCCAAGTTTTTGATCCATTTGTTTTTTCAAAATTTTTAGAAGATATTCTCCACGAGCTTGAATACGCTTAATTTGTGCTTTACTGCCATTAAGAAGTATTTTATCGCCTAATTTTAAACTTTCATCCATTTTTATTGCTTCCCAGGAGCCCATTCCATGTTGATAAATTCCTTTTAACAATCTAGTATCATCCTCGATTGTCCATTCACAATCAAAGTTTGCTGCTTTCACTCTGGCAAAAATTAAATATAAATATTACATATTTTGTTTTATATCAAAACATATTTAAGACATTTATGTATATTTCTATTTTTGTTAATAAAATTAAAACAAATACTTTCATTTATAGTTTTAATTAAAAAATTGAAGAAATTGTTAATAATGATTGTTGTTCTTTAAATATTAAATGTGAATTTAAAAATGAATCACCAATTATTTTAAAAATTAAAAGAGAAACTATTTAACTTATGTCAATTAATTAAAATAAACATTAGAATAAGATATTTTTAGTACCACATTACAGATTATAGATTATACAGATTACGTATTATTTATATTTATATTTATATTTTATAAATACTTGATATCTAAATTCCAGTTGATTCTTTGTTCAAGATCCATAGGAAGTGCTTGGTCTAGTGGTTCAAGTTCTGAAATAGCAGCACTGAAAGATTTTGCATTAACCATCACACCACCTAATTTAAATGTTGGTCCTCGACGACGTTTCCGGCCAGGTCCTTTGCTCTCATCATCGTCGGTTTTATTTTCTTTAGAAAAAATACTTTCAGATTCAGCAAGACAAGCTTCACAGCGGGAGCGTAGTTGCTCCGCCAAATAAGAAAGTTCGGACATCGGCTTTTCATTTAGTTCTGCATCTACTGCGATTTCATCTAGTCTTTTATCCGGTGCAGGAAATTTTTTGAAACTTTTTATGAATCGTCTTATCTACCATAAGATTAAATATATAGAATAACTATTATATAAAATATTTATGATAAAACTAATAAGGAATATATTAAACAAAAATTAAAACGTTAAAAATGATAAATGAAAATAATTAAAATGTATTGATTGTTATTAAAAAACATAATTTTTCTACAATATGAAATCAATGAATTACCTCAACATCAGTAAAGCTTTTAACATTTTCTCGAGGTAACATTCGTGGTCTTCCTCGTTTTTTAGGTCTGCCATCATCGCTACCATCTTCATCGCTTCCTGAATCTTCATCTTCATCACTTTCGTCGCCTGATTGGGTCTTTTTTTTTCTTTTACCTTTATTTTCACTTTCATTGATTTGTTGTAAAGTTTTTCGACTTCTAGGTGGAAGATATAAATCTTCCATTTCCTTGGATTTTTCAGCTTCTTCTACTTTAGCTCTAAAGTTTTCAGGAATAATTTCAGCCTAAAAAGAAATATATTCAAGTAAATTAATATTTAATTATTTAAATAATAAAAAATAATAATAAAAATGCTAATAATTACCCAATCTTTACTTTCATCATCATTTTCATTCACTTGGGACACAATTTCAGATTCCTCCTCAAAAGCTGCAAAACTTGCTACTTTGAATGCTGAAAGTAATTCATCTCCAACTGTAGTGGGTCCTTCGTCTCTAGTTTCAGCTCTCCTTAAGATTTCATCAATATCGCACTATAAAACAAAAACATTTCATTCATTAAAGATAAATATTACTTTGTTAATATAAGAATTTCTTTGAAAAATTTTATACTGTAGGTTCTTCATCTCCATCTTCTTCATCTTTAAACAACTCTTCTGCACCAAATTTCAAAATAGCACTCAGATCTTCTTTATTAAATGGATTACTATTAGAATTTGCACCTTTTTTATCTAGCACTGTTCGACCAGTAGTATCCATCCTTTGAATAACTAAGTGATCAAGTACCATTTTTTGTTTGGCACGTTCAACAATTTCTTCTTCTACGGAACTTTTTGTTACTAGTCTATAAATATTGACCTGTAAATATAATACATATTTAAATATTTTATATAAAGTTGTAATTTAATAAAACCTAAATAGAGCTTTATACTAAAATTTTTTTATTATCAATAACATTACTTGATTTTTTTGACCAATTCTATGAGCTCTAGCTTGCGCTTGTAGATCATTTTGAGGATTCCAATCAGAATCAAATATGATAACTGTATCAGCAGTAGCTAAATTGATACCAAGCCCACCCGCTCTAGTGGATAATAAAAAACAAAAGTCTTGAGAACCACTTGCATTAAAGTGATCAAGGGCTTGCTTTCTTAATTCACCTTTTATACTACCATCGAGACGTTGAAAAGGAAAATGCCTCTTCTGAAGATACTCACTAAGAATATCTAACATTCTGACCATTTGACTAAAAATTAGAACGCGATGACCAGTTTCTTTGAGTCTAATTAATAGTTTGTCTAACAATACTAGCTTGCCAGAGCCACGTATTAGTTGTTGAAGGTAATCATCATTATTATCTTTTTTATCATTTTCATTTGGTTTTGTTAAAAAAGCATGATTACAACATTTCTTTAATTCAATTACAATATTTAAGAAAGTAGATGTTGAACCCTTGTTGCCTTTTCTCAAAGCATTGAAATTTTTTGTTAAAATCCATTTATAATATTGTTTTTGTAAAGAAGTCATTTCGACACGTAATATTTGTTCTACTTTAGCTGGTAAAGATTTTTCAACGTCCTTTTTTACCCTTCTTAAAATAAAAGGTTCCAGTTGTTTGTGCAATTTTGAATATCCTTTTTGAGCAGCATTATCATGTTCTTTTTCAAAGTCTTCCCATGAATCAAACCTATACATTTACTGTATTGAGCAAATTTGCAAAAAAGTTTACTCTAAATTATTTTAATAGAAAAAATACTTACTTATGTGGCATGATAAAATGAAGTAGAGCCCATAACTCTTTTAAACTATTTTGTAAAGGAGTTCCAGTAATGAGAAGTCGATGATTTGTATGAAATTCCGCTAATGCTTTATACAATAATGAATCGTCATTTTTTAACCGATGGGCTTCATCAACTAAAAGCACAGCCCAATTTAAAACACCTAAAAAAGCCTTGTCCTTTAGAACAATCTCATATGTCGTCAATATTGCATTAAATTTGAGTCTCTTTGAATCGTAACACCACTCATATTCCCTAATCTAGAATAAAATAATAAAAAAATTTTTATGAAAATAATATAGCATAATTTCTTTAAGGAGAAGTGTTTTAAGAAGAATCTATTATTATCATTATTTTTATTGAAAATCTTACTACATTTCGAGAATGAACATCTCCTAAGTAAGTAACAAAATTCATATCTGGAGCCCATTGAATCATTTCTCTTTGCCAAGATGTCATTGTTGATAAAGGAACGACTAATAAAAATGGACCATGAAGTTGCTGAGAATGAAAAAGGTAGTAAAGGAAACAAATAGTTTGAATAGTTTTACCAAGACCCATTTCATCAGCTAATATTACACTGTAACAAAAATATTAAATTATTCAATTTTGCTTAAATAAAATTTAAATTTTAGTTATTTATTATTGATTGAATCAATAGTACGAGCAATTAATTCCTAAATTATATTTACCTATTTTCTTTACACCATGAATGAATCATCCAATTTAATCCATCCATTTGATAATCTCTTAGAATACAATTTTCGTCTTTACCCATGTAATTGGGTTGCTCTTTCAATTGGTGAAATTTAGGTCTATATTTTAAGACCTTACAATGTTTACTAGGTGTTCTTTTAGAATCTTCGCGATCGCGGAATTCTTGAATTTTTTCCGGCCATTTTTTAATTATTAGAGCACCATCTTCCCAAGTAGCTTCTGAATAAGGTAAACTTTCCCATTTACAATAATAGTCTGGATGATCTGAGTCAGGTTTATCAGCTTCAGCTAAATAAAAAAATATTTAATATTAAAAGTATAAAACATTATATTTATATTGAAAATAAAAAAATTGTTTACCAATAATTCGTTCAACATTATAGTAGCTTTTTAAAAGATCTTGTTGTAATTCTAATTGACATTCAAAATAATCTATATCTTCAGGACCTGCATATTTTTTCCATTGTTTAATATCTTGTTCTCGTTTGATGAAGTTTTCTAATTTTTTTATTCCTTTTACCTAAGTATAAAAAATATAATTTTAAGTATCTTTTCAATGCATTTATATTTTTTCAATACATTTACCTTTTGAGTTGTTAAAGAATCTTTTGATTCCCATGTATTGTGTATATATGACCAACTCTTCCATTTTATCAAATACTGAATTTCAGTTTCTTCACCCACTAAGTTTTCAGGATTTTGATCTCCATTTTCTTCTACCGCATAAACAGTTGTCACATTCCCTACAACTGTTAATAAAACAATTATTACATAACATTAACAAATAATATTAATAAATATTAATCACTGTTCTGTAAGATTCATACCTCCTTTTTTTCCAATTCGTTGACCAAGAATTCTTTCTATAGTTTCTGCATTATCAGGTTCTGTAGGCTCTAAAGTTGTTTCATCTACTTCCATAAGATCTTCACTATCAGTTCCAGCTTCACTTTCCTCTTTATAACTTACTTGTGCACCTGTTCTCCTAGTTACTTGTCTATTTTAATAAATTTTAATAAAATATTCTATTCAGAATAATCAATGATATATAATCAGAATACATATATTTTAATATGATATAATGCTATCATTTATTTGTATAGTTTATGTATTATTTAAGGAAACTTCTTATTCTTATTTATTATTTTTTAAAACAAATTATATAAATATTGAGAAAGAAAATATGGAAAATTAAAGACTAATTCTTAAAAACTTGTCAAAATTTGAACATTAGATACTAGATTAATGATGTTATTAAATAAAAATTAAATTTTTATTTTTTATATTTTGTTATCAACATCTTATTAATAAAATTCAAAATATATGTTTAAGGTAAATGACAAATATATGTGTGTGTGTGTGTGTGTGTGTGTGTGTTGACTCGTTATTATATTATATTTTAATTGAAAATAAACCTTCTTTCATCACTATCGTATGAAGAATTATCAGAAGATTCAGAAATATGTTTTTTTCTTGTTTTGGCCTTTTCTTTGGCCTTTTGTGCCGCTCGCCGATTAATTGATTTACTAGGGGGTGGTCTTTTTGTTTCTGTATCTTCAGATTCTGATTCTGAACTTTCAGAATTCCATGTGTTCCGTGAGTTACTAAAATAAATTGAATTTATATATATAATTAATTATATTATTTATTTATTATTATATATATTAAATTAATAGGTTATACGTATTAATGTACTAATATAAATTTAATAAAATAATAAAATTAACTAATATATTTCTTTACAATAAAAAAATTCATTTTTATTTTATTTTTATAATTTGCATTTTTATACTGCAATCTGCTTATACTACTTAACATATTACGGAATGCAATTTAGAAATTACATAAGATAAAGAAAATTACTATAATACTCAAAATCAGCTCTTGATTTATAATTTATAATAAGCCTAAATAATTTTTTCTTTATTGTACTCGTCAATTTAAATGTTTGAAATATATTATGAAAAATATCCCAAAATGAGTGAAGTGTACAATTAAATTTATAGTAACCGATAAATTAAACAATTATTTCGTAAAAGTTCATATTATCATATTTTAAAAAATGATGAACGATTTTATATAATACTTACCTAATCAATAAATTAGATATAAGATATTATTAAAAATTTGTATAAACTATCATTAATATACTTTAAAAATTGCATAAAAGATAATTTAATTAAAAAAATCTGAGATCGGTAAATATATTATTATTAATTTTTGTTTATATAATTGTGAACAAACTTATTTAGTACAGAAATTCTTATTTATTCAAAATCATATTATTATACTATGGAATGTATTTTAAATATATTTTTCTTATACAGTAAACACAATTTTTATTATGTACGTAAATTAAATAATGCTTTCAAATTTTTAATTTTTAAATTAAATAGTCGAATATTTAAGAAAAGTTAATATTGGAAAATCATTCGTGCAATTTTAATTATTTATATTTGTTAAACGATAAATATTTGATAATGGTTTTATGAGCACCAATTATTTTCGTTTTGCCCATCAAAACAATGATTAATTATCATTATATTTTGGAACCTTTTTAAAATAAATTTGATTTTTTTAAATATCAACAGTTTAATAAATTTTCATTAATAAAATTTTGTATTCTCTATATTTTACCGACAAGTATAAACTCGATTATTCAAATTAATGTAGAATTTTAATATTTTCATACATATTAGATAAATTAATAATTAAAAAATAGATAATAGAAAGACGTTTTGTTTTATTCACCATTTTAATTTAATTATATTCTTAAGTTTAATTATTATTTTATTTGATTAATATAAACTTGTTCGTAAGATTTTCAAATTTTAAATTATTTATATAAATTCAACAGAATTCGATTATATGCTAATAAATTTAGTTAATTGATACTCAAATTTAAATAAAAGGTTTGTTAATTCGTTCAATTCTTTCTTTATTACCTTACATAAATTTTTTATTGTTCTTTTCGATGTATGAAAAACAAATTTTTCATGAAAACATTTATTAAAAAATCTTGATTGCATAATTTTTATTTGTATCTTTGATTATCAATTTTAATGCATACGATTAAAATATAATTTGTTGAATCATAATATTAAATTTTCTTATAAAATAATTGTGTAACATTTTTAATTTAATATTATTTAATTTAATATAATTTAAAACACAAACTATTCTAATTTAAATTAAAAATGAATTTCATTGTACAATGTTTACGATTTATAAAATTTATTTCTAAATTATTTATTTTCTATCATCCTTTTATATAAAATAATTATTATATACACATTTGTAACGTCTATACACGCGTATATGGTATAGAATCGAAAACATTATAAAATAAGTTGGTATATTATTTTATGTAGTAATTATCTTTTAGGTGATAAATAAACTGATCCTAGTTGCAGTACACTATTTGAATGCAAATTATAATGCACTAATATTAATTTCAACGTCGTTTAGGTGTAATAAAGTTTTTAAAAAAATGTTTAAATACTATATTAAATATAATATATATAATATACAGATTTACTTGTGCAAATACACAGGTATGCACATACACCTGTACTCATGCATATATTTACATTGGACATTTTCTATTCCAATATATATATATATATATATATATATATACAAAATTTGCAATTATATATAGATTAAACATATTATTTGTATATAGATGTACGATTACAAACAAAAACTATTATGCTTATTCATAATTTAATAATAATATATTACGTTTTATTGATTTATATTTGTTATTAACAACAATATTACTATAATAAAATATTTTTATATTAAATTTTTAGATTGAGTAAGTTAACCTATAATATATTATATACAATTTTTAAATTACGTAAGTTTTTGGTTTTCAATGCTGAATCTTACCTTTTTTTTTTGAGTTTCTTACGACTGTCATTGTCACTATCCGGTTGAGTTGTAAGTCTGTCTGGTTCTTTTCTGGAACGAGCTGATCTTCTGATGCCATATATATCAGGGTTTTCATCCCATTCGCGACTAGAATCGCTTTTATTTCTAATTTTTGTTTCTGTACTATGATTAGAACTTTTACTATGAATGCTATCGCTTTGTAAAGGCGCATCTGACTTATCAGACTTTTCAGAATCAGAAGCAGAGGCTGAACCAGAACCAGATGAGCTAGAATCACTACTTTCGAAGTAAAATAATCGTTTAATTAACTAATTAATAGACCTAATATGTTTATTACATCATAAAACATAACATACGTTGTGTTTTTAATATTTTGTGGATTTTAAACTTACCAGAAATTACAATTTGAATAAATTTAAAAATAAAGTAAAAACGTAAATCTAACCTAATTTTATTACAATAAATAAAAATGAATCAATAAAATTAAAAAAAATTGCTAATATCTTATACAAAATTTACTAAATTGAAATTCTATAATCATAAATTACAATCTAAATATTTAAAAATTCAATACTAAATATATAAAAACATAAGTAAATATATTATTATACATAATAAAGACAATAAATTTGATAATACTCATACTCTTTAATAAATAACTTTATTAAAGCATGCAGTTCAATGTTTATCTAATCAATATTGAATATAAAAAGGGAATATAACAATTAAGTAATAATATATCATATATTTAAAAATATTTAAGGAAGTAATATACGTGTCTTAAGAAATGGTTAAAATTTTTGTAAAATATTAGTTTTAATATAGCACAGAATCAATAATTAAATCTTTATATCATTAAATAATATATTTTAAATGCTTATATTCAATACATTTAAATTTCTAACTAATAAATTACATATTTTACACATACACACCTTTCTGATCCAGAACCAGATCCTGAATTACTTTCAGATGTACTACTGTCACTTTTACTCTCATTTTCAGAACCTGATACAGATTCCTTACCAGATTCAGTGTCTGTCTTCTGAAAGATAGGTTTTATAAATGATCCAAGTTTTAAAATTCACTGTCATAATGGCAGAAACATTGTTTGGAATAGTTTGTCTCATTATTACTTTTTATAAACAAATCAAAATAATAATTTTTAATGAGATATCTAATTCATAACGGTAAAAATGATCATATAAATAAAACTTGAAATTTGATTAAACAAAAAAAAAAAAATATATTCCACCATTTTCTGATAAATCCACCATTTTGAGATTTATTACTAAAGATAGCAGATATTTTGTAAATTATATTAAATTAATAACTAAAATGTAAATTTAAAACATATTAATTCTAAATGTGATATAGCAGGTAATTATATTTTTAATAATGAACATTGGGATATAATTCAATAAAATAGGAAACAAGAAATATTTGAAATATTAAATTTATTTATTATGAATTTATTCATACATTTTCTTATATGGAAACTTCATTAATACAGCTAATACAATTCATAAATTAATGATATTCTACAAAGGATTTTGCTAAAACCATTAATGTCTGTACAACTAAATTACATTGATTTTTCCTTACAATATTCGACATACGTTAAAATATTCTATAAAACAAATTGAAGCAAAAATCATTCTTTTAGCAACACAATTTAATATCGGCTTATACTAATATGTAAATCATACTTTTTAAAATTATGAATATTACCTAATTATTCAGTTAAATATCTAATTAATTAATCATAAAATTATGAAAAAAATTAAAAAAAAACTTTCAATAAAAAATTTATAGTTTGAACTGAATTACTTATTAAAATAAAATTACAAGTGAAAATTTTTCTTTTTTACATAGTAAATGAGTAACTTTAAAATAAAAATTAACTTAAAACTAAATATTTTATTAAAATATATTGGTTAATATAAAAACTGCATTTCTTTTACAAAATCACCATAATACAATAATTTAATTTAAATAAGTATTTTAATATTGTTATAATTACTTAATACTCAAAATATTCACTAGAAAGTAAATATAATTCTAATCTTTCAATGCAGTGAAGATCGCAAAAAGATTTCATGGTAATATTTAACCATTTTAATTCTATAGAGAATACTTTCATCATCTTATTTAAGATTAGAGATGTTTAATAATATATGGATAAAAATGTGGAATATTTTTAAAATTTTGATTGAAAATAATGTAGGGTAAATAGTAATAGTATAAGAATATTGTTCGTTATTCAATGTAAGATTGCATAGACCAAACTTTGGACTGAATTTGCAAAAATGGGTCCGTAAACAATTTTCAAATAAGTACATCCCTAAGCAATCACAGATATTAAGGAAATATTTGGACAGAAAATTGGGATGGAACACTAGATTTTAAGAGGTTTAATATCTCCGTAAGGAGTATGTAAACAAACTTTTAGGTTATTGCAAACCTAGAAACTTTGAAGAATGCAAAAAATATAAGTTAAGAACGACTTATCTTTGGGCTTTGGTGGATAATGAGCCAACGCCCAATGTTTTAAAAATTTCAATACAAGTATTTTAGTAATTTATTTTATTTGTTAAAACACTTTTCCCGTTGAAGAAGCCGGCGAAACTCTAATGTTCTAACGTTTTTCCCACTATTCCAAACCAATATCACTCGCCAGATGACAAATTTGTATATTCCATCATTCAATATAACATTACGTATAAAAAAAAGTCCAAAAGATCGAAGAAAAAACATCCTAAACCTTCATAAAAACGAAAAAGCCATCGGCAGATCCGTGCACACTCACCTGCATCATACCCCCGTGTACGCGTCACAAAGTTGTAGATCCAATGTGCGGCGTACGTTCGTAAAAAGAAAATTTTTATTATACTAGCAAGATAAATAATCAATACACTATAACACGTAATGTTCAAAGATTCACGGCTACGCGGCTTCGTGACATACCGCGATATTTCTCCAATTTTCGCGCACTATATGCTCACGAGCGCGAGCTTGGCCGCCATTTTGTGCCAGTCGACTTGTTCTCGTCTTCTCGTTCTTTCTCTCTTTCTCACTCACTCCTTCTCCTTCCTACAGCCGCGTTCGCCACGCACTCTACGAGAAGTTATCGTTATCCCATCATGCAATGCGCTAGGCCGTATGTTCCTATTCTCGCACTCATTTCCCTTGTCGAAGGAAAGCTGACGATCATTGACAGCCTCTTACATTCTCATAATTCATTCTTTTACAAGGCTAATCACACATTTTTTTCTTAACAAATGAATTGGTAAATAAACAATTTGAAACCTTTATCAATGTACATTTTAAGGATGCGATTTACATTTTTTTCTAATATTTTTTACGTTTTACTTTATAAGCAATAATCTATAAAAATAAACTTACAAAAACCTTTAAGCTTAATGATCGGCGATATTGGAAATTAAGAAAATATAGATTATGAACTAAGTTTAAATAACGCATAAATTATAACGTATTCCATGTCTGACGGTCAGAAACTAACCAATGACCTTACACCCGGGAAAGGTATATAATTTCGTGATGCTCCGATGCGGTCTTTTCTCGAATAACAACGCGCCTTCTCGACACCCATTGTTAATTCATGATATTCTTATTTTAAATTTATTTAAATCCCATTATTATTTATTTAAATGAGTGAATGAACTTTTTAATATTTAGAAAAATTATACCAGTAATGACATTAGTTTTGAAAAATTGAGTATTGAATATACAAAGGCAATGAATGTGTCAATTCTGATTCCGGTTAGCAATTACCCGGAAATAATTATTCGGGGACATTTCGTTTGGCAACGTTGTGTAGTACTTTCTCTATGTCCTCAAAGATTAGAAACCAGTGTTAATACGAATTCAACGATAATTTGAAGGTAAAATAAGTACGTTCAAATGCAAAATAATTTTATGAAAATAAATATGTTGACAATTAGCAAAATATTTTAAACGAAGTTATAGATATTAGGTAATTGATTTTTTCATTAATCCGATGCATATAATAGATCGTCATTCTACCAATATTAGCAATATGTTACAAAGGTGAGTTTACTTTAAAATTTAAAAATTGAACCTGAAATTATAAGTATTACTGACTATTCAAATACTAGTTGATTTTAAATATTTATCACAAAAAATGGTTGAATACAAAAAAGTTCGAATAATTATTTGTTTTACAGATATGAAAATAATATAAATATATCGGTTGTGATTCCACGTAAATAAAGAATTACACGACCACACTGATTATTAAAAATTATAATCCATCATAATTATGATATTATATTCTATTAAAAACAATAATTTGACACTAATAATATAGTAAATAAATAATGGAATTAATTTAAAATTAAAAAATGAAGCATATATTCTATTTAGATATTAACAGTATTACATGATGCTATATAAATAGTTACAGTAAAAATAATAAAATCCGATTTAACAAGAATTTTATGTGAAGCATAGCTCATTTAAAAATGTAATGGTATTTTACAAATTATTAAAAAATTATTAAAAATTATTGTACTTTATTGTTAATTATTTATAAAACTAATTAAGTAGGAAATGTATATTTTTAGAATATTTATTATTGATAAAAAAAGCGTCAGTTTATTATTAAAAATTGATTTTTAATATATCATAAATATTTTAAAGCAAAATATCAAACTTAAAACAATATGATTTAATCATCATTTCAACTAATGTTCATAGATAAGTTTTCCATACAATATATTTATAAGACAATAATACAACCTAAAGTGCAAAACAATTAATGATCATAAAATAATTAATTTAATTCCACCGAATGAAATGGGTGAGAATATATAAAAACAAAAAATTAAAAATTCCAATTTGGTATGACTTAATAAGAGAATACAAAGTTGACTGAATATGAAGCAAACATCCTCTCGAACGAATATTTCTAAAATAACTTGTTCCGTTGTAAATTAAACTTTTACAACGAATTTACATATTCTTCGAGATTAAATATGTGTAACTTAGTATGTTATTAATTTAATGTTATATGACAACTTCAAATGAGTTGCAAATACCAGTGAACATCATAACTACAATCAATTTTTGATATTTTCAAATAGCAAAAAGAAAATTTGCTATCATGGATGGTCTATCGAGAAATTAAACACGAGTATATAACATAATATTGCTGATATGGCACAAATAATTTCTAACAATTATATCAAAAGAGCAATCTTACAGCAGAATTAGCATTCGATTTAGACTAAATTTTAAAGGTAAATAGAATGGTGCGGTCGGAAAACGTCGTCGAAAGAATTTACCTCCCCGACAGGCTTGTTGAACTAGGATAGTGTGTGGGTGTGGCTTCTTTCTTCTTTGTGCTACGTTCGTCGCAGCAGCGTAAGACGAAACAGCGCAATGGAAAATCGTATGTACGATGATCCGAGCTGTCGGTCGGAGACTGGTCTTTCGAATAAGTGAGTCTCCAGGCCGGCGAGGTCGGCTGATTTTGTTGCTTTGTAGTGCAGAATGAATAGCCATTGCGTAGAAAGGCTTTCCGTACCCTCAGCACCGCTACGAACTAGCACAATCGGGACGTGAATGATAGATGAAAAATATTACCCTAAGAAGCCGTGGCAGATCCGTACCGGAAGAGGAAGAGTGGCGCTACGTTCAGCTCTACTATACGTTACTTCACTAACATCGATTATCGAAATTCGAGATTAACTAATTCGCAATCATATCCGGTACTTAGGCGCCCTCTTTACAATAATCATTTTTTATAATTCATGAATTTTAAATATTATCGTTTAGAATAAGTTAATACTTTCTTAATTCTTTTGAACTTAATTTAAGTAAATTTATTCATAATAAAGATTTGCTAAAAACAAAAAAGCAGAACTGTGAATTATATTTTTATTCAAATAGCAATTTGCAAATATTAACTTTTGAAAATAGTTATATTTTATGTATATAGTAAATAAGTAATAATTTGGGATTTATCAATTCTTAAAATATTTGAAATTCTTTATTTATATATAAATTCATAAATATATTATATATATTTATTTACTTACAAATTATATATTATTTTAAACACTTAAATAGTTTAAAATAAAATATATTTATTTACCAATAGTTTGTTCCTAGCATTAAAAAAAAGTATTAAAATATTTACATATATTTTGACAAATCCTAAAAAATAATTAATTTTAATGTAATACTAAAAATTTTATAACATGTTATATCATATTGAAGAAAGGCAATCTTAAAAACTTTATAACATTTTATATAAATTAAAACATAATTGAAGTGTTTGTTAATTTTTTCATGAGAAAAATATTTAAATATTTAATGTGAATTACATAGTATTAAAATGTTTTGAAAATTCTATTCATTTTATTTTTAATATTACATCAAATAATATTTTTATGTAAAATGCAATAAAGGTTAACTATTAGTACCACTGTAATCGAAAAGGAACATATAAAAATAATCATATTGTAATCTATGTATTTTTTAGAATGATTTGTATGAAAATTTGTTTATCAATATTATATTAAAATTTAGAATATAACAAAATTATCCAAAAATATATTATTATTATTAATTGTGTTATTGTACATTTTTATAAAATGTTAAATAATATTAATTTTTAGAGTATACTTTATAGAGACCCTTTGAATGATAAATTCTAAAGATATCTATTATTATTTATATTAGAATTGTTAGTTATTTTTATTATTACACTACTTACAATTTTGATAAAAAATATTCTATAAAACTGGTATTCAAAATTCTTAAAATATTAAGCTTTATTCTTATTTAATGAATGTTAAGCAATGTTAATACAGATATAACATACAAAATTATATATATATATATATATATATATATAATACTTTATATCATTTATTTATAAATTCAAATAAATATTTGAATATGGAATTGTATTATTTTGAAATTGTTAATGTATCAATAAAATATGTCTAATTTAAAATGTTAATCGATTTTAATAAAATCTAATATATTTATTTTGCTTAATTAGTAAATATAAATTAAATTCATTTTTAAACTTATAAATTTATACTGTTGTATTCATTTAAATATTGCAATTTCCTATTTCAATATTTTATTATTTATTTTTATAAAACTAAAAGTGTTTAATATATAAAGTTAACTGTTCTAATATAACAAAATTTATTAAATATAAAATTTTCTTAAAATTTATTCAGGCTTGGAATAAGTAAAAAACCTAACTACGCTTTATGTTTTTTATTTAATTTTATAAATTACAATTATTATTGAATTTAAAAATTATAGAAACTAAAAATATATGGATCTTAATTAAAACTATTCGATTTAAAGTATAACTTAAATTCGTATTACTTTTTATTTGAGTTTTATATGAAATAATTGCTGATATCAAGTCCAAATACAAAAATGAATTACACAATTTAAATCATTAAATTTGTTTAAAAATAATTTCTGTTTAATGATTTAAAGTTTCCTGCAACATTAATATTATTGTAATATTAAAATGAAATAATATTTTTATCACCAATTTTACAGTATTTTATTAAAATTAATTAGTAATTGTTGAATACACAAACAAAATAAAAAATTTTAATCTATTTTTCTTAAATAAATTATTAAAAAATAAGTGCTTTTATTTACTCAATTAAATTAAAACTGAACATGCAATTATTCTTCACGAAATAACCTTAACCATTATAAAATGTTTTTTGGGAATTATTATTTTGTAACTAGAGTAATTAATTAAATAATTAATGAATCAGAAAAGGTAAATATTAAAAAAATATATTTACATTCAAAATTATTTAGCATTAAACAGTGATGAAATTTTAGTATGTATGTACAATTTTAATATTAATATTAATATTAATTTTAAAAACATTGACACAAGTAGTATAAGCAAAATACTACAACTAGAGTTTAAAAAAGAAAGATATCTAGAATAATTTTTATATTTTTAAGACTTTTCAAAAATAACATTCTATAAAATAAATAGATCCAGCCTATTCAAATTTTATACGATTTATTATAGTAAAATAATTCAAATAGTAAATAACTTTAGATAGTATTTGCTTAATATCAACTATAAATTGGTGTCGTTTTTAATTTTAAGTATTTAAATGACAAATACTTGTTTATGAAGCATAAGCATGTGTGCTTTCAGTCTTGATATTTATTTACGCATAAACAACAGTTACGAACTGTAAAGTTTCATGTAACAAATAATAATGCAGAATTTAGAAAACGCAAGCACAGTTATTTCATTTTAATATAATTTGTTACAAGTTAACTGAAAAAATATTTTATAAATTACTTATGTCTGAGACTGAAGTCATTTAATATATTTAATCAAAACTATTCAGGATTAGGAGTGTCAGATAGTTTTTCTTCAGTTACATCTAACATTGTATCTTTTTCTTTGGTTTTAGCATCAGGTACCCAAAGGCCACTATCAATGCATCTCTTAATATGATATCGTGCTTCCTCTTCCGGCATTACTGCAATTGTTTCTTGCAATAAAGGTATATCCTGAGCTTCAAAACATTTTTGCAAAGGCTAAAAAATTAGAATATATAATGAAATATTTGTTCAGTAAATATAGTGTAGATATTGTATAATTTTAATATTAGTTTAAGTAAATTAAAGAATATAGAATTTAAATATCAACACTAGGTAATGCTAAATTAATTCTAGATCAATTATACACAATTGAACATAAAATCATAATACAATTTTTGTTATTTGTTATGAACTACATTAATATGTAATATAAATATTATTTGTAATATAATGCATTAAATATTAATATAATATACATTAAAAAAGGATAATTTTGAAAAATATTTTTAATAATATAAAAAATATAAATATTTAATAAATTTAATAAATATTTTTAATAATTGTGTGCCATAACATTTTAGGTATAATAAAGCAATAAAATCAATATTTTGTTAAATAGTAACAGTAATATGAATATTATCTTTCCTGTAAGAAATTATTTAATTAAATCACCAAAAAAGTAATTGATTTATTAATTATAATCTTATAGATTAATCTATCAGTAGATTAATTTTTAGAAAATTATCTACAAAATTATAAAACTAAGGAAATAATCTCAATTATATATTTGTACAAAAACATTCCAATTACTTCAACAAGAAATATAATTTTAGTTAGAAAATAGTTTTCAATTTGTTAAACGGAATCTATATCTTTTATATTTAATTTGTAAAGATTTATTTTTCAAATATTAGTGTGATTATATATAATAGGATGAAAACAACAAAATATGATTTATTAATGTACCTCTGGGAGACTATCAAACACCTCAACTGGATCTAGACCTCCTGGTCCTAAACGAGCTTTTTTTTCTTCTTCTTCCACCTCTTTAATAGCTTCTGCAATTTTTTCAGCTGCTCTTTTACGAATTCGTTCTTTAAATGATCTTAATTCATCATCAAATGAATTTTTATATTCAACATCAGCTATTTGAATGCGACTAAAGAATGAACCTACACATGCTCGTGGGTCAACATCAAATTGTTTTGAAAGTTCTAAAATATATTGCATACATATGCATTGATGAGCTACATGTTCCATGAAATTGTGTTTCTAAAAAAATTATTATTTAATAAAAAAGATAGATAAATATTAGCATATTATTAAATAAAATTAATTACTTCTTCCATTTCTAGATTTATACACCAAATAACTAAATAATTCGCTGTATTTTCGCAAACTAAATCTAAATTTTCTTGTAAATACACATTACTATCATCATATCTTCTTAACATTCCATATTTTTTTATTTTCTTCTCATTGTCCTTTACAAATTGTTTCATTCGTTTTTCCTTTTCATCATCTGGTAAAGAAGAATCATCTTCTCTCCTTGCTAGTTTTGTATTTATAATAGTTTTTGTAAAACCATCTTGAGCAATGGTATCAACATTCCAAGGTGTAAGCTTATCTTTTTTCTTGAGATCTTCTTCTTCCTTTTTTATGTTTTCCTCTTGTTTTTCTAGATCATACAATGCTTTCTGTAATGTTTCTAAATCCGGTGTACTTATATTTTTACTTTCTAATTCAGCAACTTTTTCCTTGGTCTCTTTCAATTTTCTTGCAGTTCTATAAATATAACAGAATAATTATAATTATATAAGTTTATATTATTATAGAACTATAAGTTATAATTTAAAATTATTATTTAAATTTTATTACTCTTGTTTTTTTCTAATATGTTCTTGTTTTTCCTTTTCTCTTTCTTCCATTCTTTCAAGCCTTGCTTGATGTCGCCATCGAAATAATGATGGTGTATCAATATTGGGATGAGTATCATCTTCATCATCTGAAATCTATTTAAAATTAAATAAGTGAATTATATTATGATGAAATGATTATGTGTATCAAGCTATATATATTTTTAGAAAACCATTTTCATAAATATTTTATATTATTCTTATTTTATATAATATGTACAGATTTTAAGTTTCCGAGAAAATAGATGTAGTTACAGATATTAATATTTTAAAAACTTTGGATGAATGAATATACGATAAAGGCATTGGCACATTTTGTTTTTTTTTCTAGAAGTTTCTATACATTGTTATAGCATTGTTGTAGAAAACACTTACTTCGATATCTTTCCATTTACTGTAATCAACCATCTTTATTCAGTTAAAAATATTGGCTCGTTTATGTAGAATAGAAATAAAAAAATACCGGCTATATTTTCCAAAAGTCTTTTATTCAGACTACTTTATATATAATCACCTATGTATGCACTCCGTAAAATTATTTTATTTGTTAGCTATAGAACTTTATGAGTTTATTTAATTTTATAAAATGAATCTTACTATTCTAACTTAGAAATTTAATTAATTTAAACTGGATGGACGAATGAGATTGAAAATTTCAATAATTGATAACCCTCTAGTCGGCAATCTGTATTTTAGAATATGTATTATACACTATATATTGTGTATTAAAAAAGTAAAAGCAAAGTACTCCGATTAAAGTCATGCGCATTAAAAGTTTAAGCTTATTGGTTGTCGATGATGAGTTCAATATGAATTTTAAATTTCACATATAGGTAATGGAAATACTTTGTTTTTATAAATTTTATATTTATAAAAAATTCAACTTGTATATATTCGAAAAAATCAATAAATAGGCTCTCACTTTATAGTTTATTGAATAAAACAGTACATTATTTTTTCACATACTATATCAATTTAAATTTAATAAATCAGCACATTCAAATACCATATTCATTTTGTTATAATCAAGTCTAATAAAAAATAAATAGATATTGAATGATATTTTATTTATAATTGTAACAAACAATCAATAATTACAAATACATAATGTTAAGATGCAGTTAGACAAATGTTTGATTGCTGATTATACGCATCAATTTTATTATTTCAATCATAATAATATTTATATTTCCTACTACAGTTTATTGTTCAAAATATTCAATATTTTTTATTTAATGTAAAATATTTTTATAAATGAAAATATATTATGAATTATTATAATTATGTTGATGTATCAGTATTTACTTTCAATGATATTTACTAGCTATACTAGTAAGTGTTTTCATATAAATATATCAACAACTGAAATATTGAACACAGTGACTAAGAACTTGTTTCTACTTGAATCTTATGATCAATTAGTACTCAAAATTTCATTTTATAATATTCGACCAAAATTTATTTTATTCAAAATGATTCGTTAAAATAATTTTTCAAATGTCTTTTGAAGCTAATTTTTAAGTGAATGTTTTCGTGACTATTGAAAATAAATAAAATATCATGCATGACGATTAATTAATTGGATTAACATATGTTTATATAAAAATGAAACCATTTTTCGAGAACATTATCTTTTATAAAATACATATATCATAAAATTTGTTTTTAATTAATTAATTAATAAATTAATTAATTAAAGAATGAACATTGAATAAATGATTTCAAATTTATTGTACTGAAAATTATTTTGATGTATATTTTTTATATGATACAAATAAAATGTTTTTATGCTTGATGATAAATTTTTAAAATATTGGTTTTTATATTAGTATAATAAATTGTAGAGTGAAACGTTCTATTACAAATTTAAGAATATGTAACGTAATACTAAGCATGATTTTGCATACAATCATCTCCTTCTATACATAACAAAAAGCATATTTAGGCCCATCTTCTTGCGTATAATAAAACTTATTTGGTGAAATAAAGTTTATTTTTTGTGATGTTTCAAAGATAATAGGACTTTTATTGTTCATCTATTTAATTTTTTTTTTTATAATTTTTTAATTCTCAGAAGTTTTGTTGCACTTCATAAAATGCTTAATTCGACATTTCTATAGAATTCTATGTCGATATTTATAATGTATAGAAGTTAAACTAAAATTTAGAATTGTATTTTCATTTAAGCAACATTACTTTTGAATATATGCAATTAACACAAATATTACATCAACATCAGTTGGTTAAATTAAAAAAAAATTATATGATTCTCTATATAATTTATTATTACAAAATTTATTTCGTAATTAAAAATACAGAATTTTCTCTTTCATATAATTTTTCTTATAAATCATAGTAATACAATACGATCATGTTGAAACAATAATAAAATAATAAAATCTGTTGTTTGAATGCATTATTCATTTAATTTTTAATACTTTTATTATTGTTACAAAAACATTATCTAAACATTAATGTCTTATCGTTTTTCAGTCCCTGATTTCTTTATTTTTTTATTGTGACTTCCCTCCTTTTTTACTTATGTCGTTCATTTACAATACTTATTTTCAAAAAATTAATTTCAAATATAGAATTCAGTAAATAATATGTGAATGTTTTGATTTAAAAAATAATTAATTTGTTGCGTCAAGTCGGTTTTAGTGCTATTTTTATACCTTTGTAGTTCATATCTATATATACATTGATGTGATATAATTTATTAAATCAATAATTTAATATATTGACGAATATAAACAATATAAATTAATAATCCCATAAAGTGGTATCAGTATTTAGATTTAGTCATGTTGATTGACCAAGTTCGATATATTTTCTGAGAAATGTTTGTGCTTATAACAGAATTACAAAAATATAATTGTCAGGATATGATCGAACAGTGAGAAAGTGGTGAATTAGATTTATTTATGCTATTAGAGTGCAGGTTGTTTAATTTTATAGTCGGGTAAGTTTTGTACATCAAGTTTAAAAATAAATAATTGCATAAAATATGTGCTTGAAAATTCTATAAAAATTTTCTTGATTTTCTGTTTTTTTTTCATTACAAACAATTGCAATAGGGTGAATTAAATTAAAATTGTTAAATTTAATAAATAACACATATTTAAAACCATATTTGTGTTCTAAATTCAATATTTAATGATTGAATAAAATGCACAAGTGTCAAAATATTCATTAATATTATACATTATATTAGATATCTGAATTAGTGTTTATTATTGATCGCACCTTATATGCAGGCCTATTATCAATATGTAAATTTATAGACTATCAAACTATTAACGGAAAAGCATTGATTACTGTATCCCATTCTTAATATTTTTTATTTTAGTTCCTCAATTTACAGTTCTTTAAAAATGTATTAATTATCATTATTAATTTTTTTTGCTCCTGTATGAGTCCTAGATTATTCGATACATATACATATCTATCGTACGCACATTATTCTTGAAATGCTAAACCAAATTCGTAAAGTATACGAAATTAGTTGAATCTTTTCAGCTTAATATGAATCTTGTATGAATGTATTAAGGCGCAAGCGTTAAATAGTGTTCAAATTTCGAAATCGCATTGTTGTCTAAATTAGTTAAAATTAGAGAAACAGCTGTCTTCAGTGTTATTACCTGATCCAAATTATTCATCCATGATAACAAAAAAATGTATTTTATTAAATCAGCAATTGTGTAATATAAATATATTAAACATTATATGTATTTATTTTCTAGTAAATATTTATAAAGTATATATATATATATATTATGTATAAACATTATTTTACAGCTATAATATTTTGGACAACAAAAATGCTATTAAACCATTAAAGTAAGTTTTATTATATATTGTATTTACATACATTCAAATTAAAAATATTTTATTTTTTCATATGTAGATGATATCAACAAAATATTTATCATTCTTTTATGGAATGGTTATAGCATCTATTACATGGATTTTTAGTTTGTACCTTTACTTAAGATTGTCTCAAAATGTTAATATTAATCCTACAAACCTTATATCTGATTTATCAAATCCTCTTAAAGATATAACCTTTGATCAAAATCTCAAACAGGAACATAAAAATAATAATTATATTTTTAAAATTAATAATGAATTAAGTAATAATAAAGAGCAATATAGTTTTGTATTAAAAAGATATAAAAACAGTAAAAAATTATTGCAACAGTTGAATCCATTTCCAATTAAGCCAGCAATTAACATAGGCCAAGGTATTTTTGAAAAATATACAATATTGTATTTAATGTTTTAATAATTGTTATAAAATATTGTTTAGGGCTTGATGAATTGGGAATGGTAAAAAATGTAGAAGAACAAAAGAAACGAGAAGAAGGATATAAAAATTTTGCATTTAATATACTTGTTTCTGATAATCTTGATTTGCAAAGAGAAATCCCTGATACAAGACATATATTATGTAAAAATCAAACATATAATATTCATCTTCCAAACGCTAGTATTGTAATATGTTTTTATAATGAACACTATAATACTTTATTGAGATCTTTGTATTCTATTCTTAGTAAAACTCCAAATAATTTATTACATGAAATTATTTTAATTAATGATTATAGTGATAGTGAAAGTTTGCATGAGAAAATAAAAATGTATGTCAAAGAAAACTTTAATAATAGTATTAAATACTACAAGACTGAGAAAAGAGAAGGGCTTATAAGAGCAAGAATATTTGGAGCAAAGAAAGCTACTGGAAATGTTTTGATTTTTTTAGACAGTCACATTGAAGTTAATAATATGTGGATAGAGCCTCTGTTAACAAGAATAGCTTATTCAAAAGTAATTGTTCCAGTACCTGTAATTGATATTATAAATGCTGATACCTTCCAATATATTTCAAGTCCATTAGTGAGAGGTGGCTTTAATTGGGGTTTACATTTTAAGTGGGACAGTTTACCAGTGCATACATTATCAAAAGAAGAGGATTTTATAAAACCTATTAAGTATGTTATATAAAGTCCTAAATATAAATTTATTATGTAAAGATAATATTTTAATAAAATTAAATTTATAAAATAGATCACCAACTATGGCTGGAGGATTATTTGCAATGGACCGTGAATATTTTTTTGAACTTGGAGAATATGATTCTGGCATGGATATATGGGGTGGAGAAAATTTAGAAATATCATTCAGAGTAATAGATTAATTATTAAATAATATTTCTGATATAATTTATCATATAATTAATAGTTGATTCAATTATAAATTAATTAAATATTTGTAGATTTGGATGTGTGGTGGAAATATAGAATTGATTCCATGTTCTAGAGTGGGTCATATTTTTAGAAGACGAAGACCTTATGGAGGAAATGATCAGCAGGATACTATGTTAAAAAATTCCTTAAGAGTAGCTCATGTTTGGATGGACAAATATAAAAATTACTTTCTTAAAAATGTTAAAAAAGTAGATTATGGTGACATTTCAGAAAGGCAAGCGCTTCGTAAAAAACTTAATTGTAAAGATTTTGATTGGTATCTCAAATTTGTTTATCCAGAATTAACGTTACCTGATGATAATGCACAACGTTTGAAAAATAAATGGAGTAAACTTGATAAAAAAATAATACAACCTTGGCATTCACGGAAAAGAAATTACACAAATGAATATCAAATAAGACTTAGCAACTCAACATTATGTATTCAAAGTGAAAAAGATGTAAAAACTAAAGGATCAAAGTTAATTTTGGCACCCTGTATGCGAATTAAAACTCAGGTAATAAATATTGAAATTAAAAAATCACTTAAATTTGGTTATATATTATTTTCTTGAAACAAATCTCTATTTTTAGATATGGTATGAAACAGACAAACATGAATTAGTACTTGGTCAAATGCTTTGTTTAGAGGGAAATGAAAAATTACCAAAACTTGGTAAATGTCATGAAATGGGTGGTGCACAAGAATGGAAACATACTGGATTAGTAAATATAAATCATTTAAAAATTTTCAATTATTAACACACTTTAATTAAATTAATTTATTAATATTTCATTATATAATTTTAGAGTCGTATACCAATTTATAATTTGGCAACAGGCACATGTTTAGGTGTTTCAAATCCAAAAAGAAATATGTACATAACAATGGATTTGTGCTATAAAAATGGTAAAGCTACTTTAATGTGGGATATCATAAAATCAAAGTTACCATTTAGAAACATAATATGATATAAATAGAAATATTATTTTAATTTAAGTAAATAAAAATGTTCACAGATATAAAAGAATTTGTTTAAAGATATTAATTTAAAATTTTTATATTAAATTATATACACTAAATTTATAATAAATAACGTATGATATATATTTACTTTTCATCTGTATATTTATAGTTATCCTCAACTTAATTGAAACTAAAAATTACTTTAAAATTTAAATATCAGTTTTTTAAAGTATTCTTTTATATCGTTTTAACCATTTCACAAATAAGTAACATACTTTGTCATGAAATACATTTTTGGAAAAATTAAATGGTGTTTTAAATTATAATAAATAAATTAATTAATTGGAACAATTAAATTAAAAGAACTATAGAGTAATACGCAGTTGCATATTCATATGTTATAATAATCATACTCTTGGATATTTTATGATTATTTTTTATGTTTATTATAAAGTGTTTAATTTAATTTATTATGTATGAACAAGTGAAAAACATTTGAACTACTTGGATAATAGTTACAAATTATTTTTAAAAATGAGCAAATATAAATTTAAAATAGCATTAAAAATTAGTTAATATTAATAGTTTTGCATAAATATATTTTATGTTAAATTTTTTTTATTTTTTATATATTTTATAGAATTCATATTATGTAAAATTGTTTTAACAAAATATATTTATATTCAGTTATGAAAAAATATTGACTGTATATATTACTAACAACTGTAGCAACTACTATTTTGAATGCTCTTCATCTTTTATGGATTATAATTCTGTATTTAAAATGGTATATAAATTTTAAAAAAATTATTTATTTTACATAGTCCAGACATTGATTAGATAATATATTATTAGTGTTAATGTGCAAGGTTTGCACAAAGATGTCTTCAAACTACATTAATCATTTAAATTATATTAAATTTCACTATTTTTATTCATTTACAGTTTCAAAGAATATAAACTATAGTAGAAATTGAATACAAATTATAATTAAAAACTATATTTAAAAAATGAACCCACGTATTAAAATTTTTTGCCCTAAAATATGAATAAGAATAAAATTATCAATTATTAATAAAAATATAATTTTATCTAAAAGGCATTGTTTGTTACTTATTAATTGAAAAAGCAGATAAGTAAATTGTTTAAAAATAGTAAATAAGAAAAATACATAGATACTTATTAATAATAATATATATTAATAATATAGATATTTAATATTTTTGATTAATAATTGTTAAAGATTGTTATCAATTTAAATATTTCTTTATATTTGATCGTTATTTTATAGGTTTATGTATAATTTTCTTTAAGTGTTTGCTAATACTGAGATTCGAGGTTATTAATTTTTAAAAATTAGTTCTTTAACTTATTAGATACAAATTTTTGTATAAATGTAATAGAAAATTAATTAACATATATTTAAATAATTTTTACTCAATGACTGAAATACAAATACACATACAATATAGATTTTATTAATATTATTGGTGGATATGATTATTTTAAAATACATGTACAGTGTACAAGTTTTATTTTTCTTTATATAATTTTTATGTATAATTTAAAAAATATTTGAAAGACAAAATAAAACATTTATATTTTGATTTTATATTACATTTTTCATTTGTATTTTATTTTTTGTGTTTGTTTTAAATCGATGCGGCATATAATTAAACAAAAATATAGTAACCGATATCTAATTATAGGATGCATGTTTTTATATTAATTTTTACCTTTTTAATTAGATTGAATTTAGTTTTAAATAAAATAATACTGTATTCTTTGTAATTGATTATTTTGGTTTTTCAATTTTCATAGACGTATATCTGACAACCAATCAAACTTGAGCTAGAATGTGCAAGTTCAAGAAAGGTGATATTGCACAGCTGTGGACACAGTTTGGCATTATTTATTGACAAATGATACGCTATAAAAGACGATTATTAAATACTAAAAGACGTCATAGTCACAGTTCTATAATATTGCGATTTGGTAATGTGGTTATTTAGTATTTTTACTCAAATATGTATTACTTAAGAAACAATAGGGTAATTAATCATAACTGTATTATATAAAGTTACGTATTTGATTTATATAAGAAATAATAAAAAACATGTATTCTTTTATTTCCAGAGTAGTATTTTAAACATTTATCATTAGTATATTTAATTAAAAACATAAAATTGTGGTTTAAAAAGAAATTTAAATAAAATATCTACTTATTTAATTATATTATACTTTATTAGATTATATTTAATTGTATTATATTTATTAGAATTAGTTATTAATGTAAAAAATGAATGTATTTCATTAAATAGATACATAGATTATTAATATTTTTTATTTTATAATAATATAATTGACGCAAAATTATTTTCTATTGATATTAGGTAAAAGATAATCTAAGCAATTGAAAACATAAAAAAGAAGAGAATCCATATAATTTATTGTATAAATCTATTTTATGAACTAAAAAAGTATAACACTAATTGACAATGTCAACTTCAATATTAACCGCTGAATGTCTTGATAAATTTGTAACTATTTCAAAGCCAAATATAGTTTCTGATGATCATATACAAAGCTTAGACCTAGATATAAATGATTGTTTGCCAAAATTTAAACTTAATGAACCTGGTCCTACTGCTCTTGCAAGTAGTGTATTTCAGCAAAATAATATAGTTCAAGATGAATCTGATCAATCATTTGTTGTTTTGGGTAAAACATCAATAGAATCTGTTAGAGAAGCTTCTTTAACAAAATTTATAGAAATACAAAAAACATGTACTAGCACAGTAAGTATTTATAATTAACTAAATTATTCATTAATAATAATAACTTTGTTATATTGCTTTTATTATTCAAACTGTTTTATAGGATAAAAATTTTTTAATATCATCTAAGAGTCCTTTAGATATAGAAGAAAATTTTAAAAAAGTATTAAAAGAAAATATAAAATTAAAAGAAATTGTAAAAGAAAATAACAATGCTATAAAACAACAATTTAATGCAATAACAATGTGGCAAAAAGAAGTTATGACAGTTTGTGATAATCACAAACAAAAATTTTTAGAAACTAAGGACTTAATAAGTCATTTGAAAAAAGAAAATGATGAGTTACGTGTAAGAAGAATTTTAATATATTATATTTTGTTTCCATTTTTCTTATAATATGTAATTATTTTTATAAAATGTGAACTAATTCTTGTAGGAACAAGTTGCCGACAAGATTTCTCTAAATAGTATTCCATCAGATTTGAGTTTAAATATTGCATATTTTGTTGAAAAAGATATACAAAAGGCTCAAACAAATTTATCAAAAGAAGATCAGCTTTTGAAAAAATCAACTATTTTATCACAAGAACTAAGTAAGGAATTTGAAGATTTTTATGCCATAAATATAGATTTATTTAATCAATCGCTCCAGAATGTTAATAAAAAAGCAATTTCTAAACAAAAATCTGGTTCATCTGATCCCCTAGAATTGCAGAAACATGTTGATGAATGTTGTGACAAAGATCTAGAATTAAAGTATCATAAAGAAATAATTACATCATTAGAACAACAGATTAAAAAAATGACTGAAAATGTAAGCAATAATATATGTATTTTTTTCTTTAATTTATAATTAATTACATGTTAATTAATTTTTCTACTTAGGTTTTCCCAGTATTTGATCTAGTAGTTGATACATCTATACCAAATTCCAAAGATAAATATATATTGCAGGAAAATATTGAATTTTACAATAAAAAATTAGCACAGCTTGGCAAATGTTTTGCTTCACAATGTTCTAGGTATCTTCAAATACAAAATATATTAAAAGAAAGTGATAGTATTATTAATATTTTTGAAAATTCTGAGATTTCAGTTAATAATGATAAAGCGAAAAATTATAAAGATAAATTATGTCTTTATCGTAAAAGATTAATTGATGAACAATTAGAAATCATTAATGACAGGCAAATAACTATACAAGTACAAAAACAATTTCAAAAAATATTATCAGATTATAATTCTATTATTTATAAATTAGAAATTTTAAAAGATGAAAATTCAAAACTATTAATAATGCAAAACAAATTAACAGAAGAAAATTCTCAAAAATTAGTAGAAATTGAAAAATATATTAATCAAGAAAAAAAAAAATTAGATAATGAAAAAACTAATTTATTAGAAGAACGATTAATTCTTCAAATTGACAAGAAATTGATTATTGAAGGAAAAGAAAAAAATTCAGCAGAATATAATATTATATTATTAGAAAAAGAAAAACTTATTGAAGAAAGAGAAAATTTATTACAAGAAAAAACTTCACTTGCTTCTCAAAGTAGAATATCTGATGTTGAAATAACATTACAAAACGAAAAGAAAATTTTAGAAAAAAAATGTAAAGACTTGTCTAACAAAGTTAATTATTTGAATGAAGAGTTGAATAAAAGTAATGAAATTGTGCATCGGTTAAAGGGAAGCGTAAGTTATAATTTTTTTCATTGAATTAATACAAATTAAATTATTTTTCGTATAATAATTTATAATATTATATTGATTTAGGAAGAGACAGTTGTGGCTTATAGTATACAAATGGAAATGTATGAAAAAGAATTTAAAGAAATGTGCATTACACATAAAAATTTACAAGATCAGTTTCAAGTACTTTCAATGACAAATCTACAATTACAATCAAATAATGTTTAAAAAATTCATTAAAAAGTTGTAAGTTTTATTATCTCATCTATTAATTAGTATGCTCTTTATTATTTTATTATTTACATAATTAATTGAATTTAAGTATATAGTTTTATCTGTATTTTGTGCAGAACTTATTTATTAATTTTTACTTAATTTAATTTTTTTTCCATTCTACTTTAAATCTATTAAATTTCTACATCAATATAGGACTAAATAATTCAATTACTATAATTAATTATTTTTAATATCGGTAGAGAAAAAAGAAGTTTTGTATATTTATAATAAAGTTATGAAATTTTTTTTTATTCCAAAAATAAGTTAATATTCTCATATTCTATGTAGATAGTAATAAGATTTTTATCTTATTTAATAAATTGGTTCAGCTTTATTAAAAATAATAGTCAACAATGCATCTTTATTATATTTTAAATATTAGTTATTGTTTTACATAATTTTCTAATTATGTCTAAAGTATCATTTAATATAATGTAATTTATAAGAAAGTTGCATGTAAAGTATAATAATTATTAAGTACTAGTAAAAGTTTAGTAAAAATTAAGTTAAAGTAAAATGAATTATAATTTTTGATGAAGAAAATAAAATTTTTTAGAAATTGTTGGATAATTTTTAGATTTAATGAATTAAAAATTATGCTTGTTTCTGAAATTAGAGTATATTTTTACAGTACTATATTTAATTGAGTTTTGCAATAATTGTGAAGTGAATTCAAGTTAAGTAAAATTCACTTCACTTGGTATAGATTATATTATCATTTGTTTACTTTTCTGTTTTATTATAGAAAATTTTAATTAGCTTCTTTTTTAATGGAAAGTTAGTACCCAATTTAATACATGCATAGATATTTTTTTTTGCTGCAAATACAAAGTCTATATGAAATAGTATGTTTTGAAGATGAAAAAAGGAACTTCATTGGATTAATGTAAAATACAAACTTGATTCAATAAATTTAGAAACTAATTCGAATGTACAATATTTGTAAAGTGAATAATATACTTGGAATTCATATGAAAATTCTTATTAAAATTATTCTTAGAATTCTTATTAAAGTTACATTTATAGAATTCATATCAAATCAAGTAATTAAGATGATCATTGCATTTTGTTGATAATTTAAAAATTTTTTCATAAATGGCAAATTTGTCACTTATGAAACTCATAAAAATTAATTATTATTTATAGTAAAATAAAATTTTAATTATATATTTTTTTTATAAAGACCAAAAACGATTAAATTAAATAGACCTTTAATTTATTTTTAAAATAATTTTTTAATTTTATAAAGGAATTCAATGTGTAAATACTTTTTTTAATTAAAATATTAACTGCAGATTAATTATTCAGATTCATTTACAATAGTATGTAAATTAATATTATAAATATATTTGCCATGATTATTGAAATAAAAGTAAATATAAAGAAAAGTTTGAATATTATTAACCAAATTAAGATCAATTTGCGTTATCAAGAGTTAAATTGTTCGTATGTAACCATAAAAAAGGCAGAAGTCAGTGTATTTATGGCTCCAGTATATCGCCCAGTGCCAAGGAAAATATAAAAATGAACAAATCTAATAGTAGACACATTTTTGCAAACTCAGGGTGAATTTTGTTTTTACACATGATACTTTCATGTCATTTACAGTTAAATAGATATAAGTAGGCTTATGGGTTACAATTCCTTAAATACATAAAACCATTATAGTATACTTTTTTATAGACACTTTCAACACCCTTATCCTCAGCATGTCACTTTTTGAGTCGATCTCCTAATTTCAATTAGATGCTTTAATATCTTATTATCATATGACGCTATATCCTTATCATGGTAATCATTTTACAGACAATGTTCTAAAGCACTCCAGTTTTAAATAATTATTTTTTTATCATTCTTCGACTGTAGTAAACGATAAATAGAAGATAATCATTATACAAGAATCTTGATTGGATTTATGTATGTCTCTGGACTTATGTAAATCATTAATTAAATACTTTAGCCGTCGGTATTGTATTTCTGCAAATAATATTCATAATCCACAAATTTATGATTCTAACAAAAACTAGAACCTTATCTATGTGTTTCTGATTTATATATATATATATATATAATTTGGTTCATTGTATTGCGTATAATAGAGTTCACCTAATTTGATTATTTTTAAACCACTTATAAAATATAAAATAAACAATAACTATTTTTAATTCCAATATTTAATCTACTTATTGTATTTTTAGAAATAAAAAAAACTATAAATAAATATCTTTATTATAATTCTTTTTATGAGTTATTATTTATTATTCAATTTATGGTTTTTATATATTGTTAAATTTGAGAAATTATTCATCTAATTGAAAATTTATCTTATAGATAACTATTTTATTAGAATACAAATAAAATTATTGCTTATTTTCACGATATTAATAGCTAATAATTAAGTTAATTCATCAAAACAATCAATTTTTCAGTAACTTGTATATTCAAAATTAAATAAGAAAGTAATATTTATATTTTTTATTTTATATTTAATACTATTCTTATTATACGTAATACTTACATTTTAATTTGTTTATACAATTTTTTCACATGTTTTATATTTCATGTACTGTACCTAATAAATTTGTAACGAATCATACTTGTTGTAACAAGTTTAGTATGTACTTTACTTGGATTTCATTATGGATGTATAGAACAAAAATTGATTTACTCTGAGAAGTGTTAGTAATTATGATAAATAACTGTTGTGTATAGTAATTAGCATAAAGTGAGTCAAATCACTCAAGGTGCAATCTTACGAAAATATAAAAATTATATGTATTCAATGAAGTTTAATCATCCACCCAAATCGTTTCACTGATATAATCTCTTTTCTTTACAGGAATTTTTAGATAATTGGACTATTTTGAAAAGTAATATTTTCTTCATTTTGAGAATTATTAAACTGTGGTATACCGTCAAAGTGAATTTGATTTAATAATCTTATGTATTAATAGTTCTTATATTCAATAAAATTAATTCTAAGTAGAGCTTAATTATTTTATTATTATTTGTGTACCGATTTAAATATATTGAATACTCTTTTTTGTATTATATTGTTTTTATTAAGTAAATTTAGTAATTGGAACCAAATCGTTAGTCTTGTTATACTAGTCATTTGAAATATGCACAATGGAGATCTAAGCCTATTCGCCATTACCAATACAAAGTTTAATTATGTAGACAAATCCTAATAATAAAGGTATATTATTTAACAAAAAATTATGAAATAATTTTTTATTTAAAAATAATAATTTATCTAAAATGATTTACTTATTCTTTCAAGTTTTATATTTAAAACAATATTCAAAAATATATGTTTTTTTAAATATTTGTTAGAGCTTTATTAATATATTTGTATATATTTTATTCAAATTCTTATATAATCCATATTTAAATTTAATCGTATTTTATATTTAATAAGTATAAAAAAATATTGTACGTTAAGTGCATTCTTTAAGTTATACGTACTAAATTTATGTTGTCATAATATACATATATATATACACACACACACACATATATATATGCATATATATATACTGAGAATACATGGAATACTGAAAATATAATTTAACATTGCTAGTTCTGTCAAGTTTGAAATTTAAAATAAAATATATTTTTCTTTATATGTTAGTTTAAATAAGGTATAATATATATTCATTATTTAAGCGTATTTTGTAACTTCGCATATATGCTTTTACGTTTTTTTTAAATATTTTTTCATAATTTATTAATTATTTATTTGAATGAAATATAAATATATCATTATTCCTTTATTTTTTAAATCAGTAACTTTTACTTACCTTATTTATGTTTAACACATGAAATATATAATTTCAAATACTTATATAATTTAATAAAAAAATTTCAAACTATAAATATCTTAATTAAGATTTTATATAGCCTTATTATTAGATAGAGTTAAGAAATAAAGGTGTTTTTATTAAGATTTTAAGAATTTTATAGTTCTTATATTTGTTTTAACTAGTTTAAGTAAAATGATTGCTTGGTTTGTAAAAGCATCACAATTTACATATTTAAAGAAGTGTCACTATTTTTCAATATAATTTTTTTAATTTAATTACTACGAAAAATAGTTTTTAACAGTTTATATAAGCAGTAACAGTTTACATAACAGTTTATATTATTTTAACAGTTTCAATAACCGACATCGAAATATTAATTTACAATTTTTTTTTTTAATTTATAATATTTATTACTGTATATTTTTATTATTAGTAATTTACAATATTATTAGTAATTTACAGTATTATTATTAATTTACAATGTTATTAATTTTTATTCAATAATAATGAAATGATAAATCAGTATTAATTTCAACCTAATATATTGATTAGTAAAAACAATGTTTTCTTGATACTTATTTTTTATATAGATATTGTAATAAGTAGCTCTATTAAGATAAGAAAGTTTTCATTTAGTACAATATCTTTAAGATTGTATTAGACAAACGCATTTATTAAGATTTTCAATTGCTTAAAACAGAGGTTGTGATGGATTTTATATTTTCTAATGAGAAAAATTTAGTCAACTGTATCGTATATTTTTGAATATGTAATTATTTTTAATTAATAATAAGATTCATTTTTTATACTACAATTACTCTCTATTCTACTATTATACTACTACTACTATTGTAATGATTAAATCTAGGATACATTTCCATCAAATCCAAACTAATGATTATAAATAGAAATAACATTCAATAACATTCAATCATCTTTTGGAGATGATCCATGATACATTTAGAAGAGTATTTTTCCATTTAGAGAAGTATTGTTGAATCATTTATATTTATCGCTAGTTTAGTTAAATTAAATATGTATTTCTGAAATTTGAATTTGAAAAATTCATTAATGTATCATAAATTAATGACTGGATAATAAATATGCAAAATCTGTAATTTTATAAATATAATAATTGTATAAATAATATTAGAAATAAAAGTGAAAATTTATAAATTAGGAATAATTTCAGCTATTATATGAAATGTATTAAATTATTCATGGTAAATAAAAAGTTACCTTTTTAATAAATTTTAAGAAATTTCTTATTATTATAATATAAAGTTTTTTATTGATTTCTAAAGTGTGAAGAATGCTATTGAATACATAATAATTTTTGTGCTTTTCTCTTGTTATTATATGTTTTCTGTCAATCCACTTCTGAACGAAGTTTAGAATTAACAAGTTATCAAACATTTTTCAAGTTCTTAAAAATAATCATGAATTCATATAATTATATTTCAAAGGAAATTAAAAAATTTTTAAATTTACTTCTATTTTTATATTTAAATGAATTAATCAACGGATATCTAAGGTGTTTTGAATGAACTATTTACAATATATTGAAATGATTTTAAAATTTTCTAGAAATGTAAAAAATGAAATAATGTTAAGTACTACAATATAAATATAATCGATTTAATAGTTTAATCTAACATTAATAAGGAAAGAGTTGTTATATTAAATGAATTAGCTATTTATGAACTAATTATCAAACATTTATTATTATATTATTTAAAAAATGATATTATTATTGGAGTCTAATTCAAAAGTCTTGAATAATTTACGATGACAATGTAACATATGTGTGTGTAAAATGTGGATTTAAAAAGTTCTAATAATGTATTAATGTATATTATTAAATATATTGTTTTGTTAAATATATAAATTAAATGTATTAAAAATAAAAATTGTAATTATTACATATAAAAATGAATAAATTTAATTAATATTTAATAGGTCAATTAAATAAGCTCATTTATATTCTTTTTTCGTACTGGAGTTTGGTAGTTTTAGTACTTTGGTTAATTAAAAATTTATGGAAGTTAATATGTTTCAGTTATAAAGCTATACTTAAGTATAATTGTTTAATTATATTTTATGAGATTTTAATTAGTGACAATACAACCATTATTTACTATGTAAATTTATTTAATATTTATTTATAATATTATTTTCAATACTACCCCCATTGATCTTAATATATATTTATATATTCCAATGCGAAATTGAGCAACATTCTTCGTATTCATTTATTTAATATTATGTATGTAATATCTACATGATGTTGAATATTAAAAAGTGTATTTTCCTATAATTGAAAGTAAATAAATTCAAAATTTATAACTTAAGCACTGTAATAATATAAAATTAATAATATTGATATAAATAATTACATTTTTCGACAAATTGTATAAAAGTTCATATAATTTAAGTTTACCAGGTCATTTATCGCTTCTATTGGAACGTCATTGAACATTTAGCATACTCTCATTTGACGTCAATCTTTTGTATAAATACTTGTAGCGATTATCTGGCAATACACTTATAAAAAACTAACCCTAAGGAGTGCGCTCTATTATTTTTCTAGTCTAAATATAAAAATAATATCATTATAAATTTCATCATAGTCAAATGGTAACATTAATAAATTATCAATTATATATACATATACAATCTACTGAATTGCGATTTTTTTTTATAAATTACTTTTCACTTATATATATATATATATATATATATTGTTTTTTTGTGTTGAATATTATATGTAAATTATTTTTTATTAATATACTGTAAAATTAATATACAAATATAGTAATCTGAAAAGATCTATTTAAATATAAATTTGCTAAACATATTTAAATTATAGGTAGTTTTAAGCAATATTAAAAATATTAATAATATATTATATATAAATTAAATCAGTAAATCAAATATTTGTAGATTTAACCTTAATCGCTTTATTTATGTAATTTTAATAAAAAATGTTTTAAAAAAAAAGTCTTTTTTGTTTAGGAAATTTTGAATAAAATCATCATAATAGCTTTTCTTTCGATGTCAACTGTTGACACTATGTCAACTACTTTGATCCCAAATTACGAATCATTGACCGCTATTAGAAGATTGCAAAATCAAGATTTGTACTTAGCTATCAACAAATTTAAAAATTATTATGAGAATGAGTTTCATAATAATGCAATGAATTCAATGATCCCATCTGTTGATGATACTGACAATGGTGTAAGAAAAAGTAGCGTTCAAGAAATCCACGATCTTGATACCGCAGCAGGAACTAACGTTCTTCGTCCTCTGTTTGTATATCGACAACAGTTGGCATATCGTGATCGCGTTAAGAAAGGAGTAGCTAGACGTTTTGGTATTAGACCCAGATTTTAATTTCTAAGAAACAATTTTAATTTTATGCATTTATAGAATTTTAGGATAAAACGTAATATGCAATATTACATCAAAGGTAACACCATGAAAAATAAATATAAAATCAGTTTTATTAAAAACAATGGATTATTTTAAATTTGTAGAATATAGTTAAAAATGGTAGGCTACAAATGTATATCTGAGGTTAAGGAGTATAAAGAGCTGATAATTTTAAATTCTTTTCAGTTTTGAATAAGAACATTTTCAGTTTATTAAAATTTTGTGAAGAATGAATTTCAAATCAAATTTACTAATTGTGTATAAATTAAATATACTATTTTTTATATTATACATTAACATCAATATTTTTCACATTTATTCAGATAATATTTTGTTAATAACATTAAGAAAATTTTAAATTATCTAATGTTTTTTAAAAATTTTATTATGCAGAAATTATGAAGTAAGATTTCAGTTAATTTAAGTATATTTCAAACAAAATCAATTTAAATATTAATTCTTATATTATTGGTTATATTTTTTTAAATGAGTAAAAATATTGTGTAGTAGTCTTACCAAAAAACGATTAAGACTGATATTCACGTAATTTTTCATATTTTTATTTAATGTAGGGTTGTAACACATCGGATATGCGAATAAAAAGGTATTTTAAAAAATTAATAAATTCAGTCAATAATTACAAAATGATAAGCAACTAAATAGACAATTAATTAAATAACATTCGAGATTTATTTTATATTTTGTTATATTTTTTATATCTTATACGGCGTTATGCTAATAATATTTTGTATCTGATCTCATTTTTCAACTTTATTTTAATGTCATTATAATCACTAATAGTTTTGTTATAGATATGCAAATGAGAAATAATTATTTACCAAAGTATTGTGACTATTGAAGGTATAGATCCTATATTACACGTTTTAATTATTACAAATCTTTTAAGTATAATATATAATTAGATGCAAAATTATATTTAATAAAAATTATGGAAAATTTTCTGTAAATAAACAGTATTATTATCTTAAAAATAAAACAGAGAAAGTAACATTAATGTTGATATTTTATAATAAATAATTTTTTAATTTGTTGTAATTTATTATTGACTATATTTTCGAATAAGAATAAATAATTATTGCAAGGAATTTAAATAATTACCAGAACAAGTGTTATAAAGAAATATATTAGTCAGTATTTTATAAGAAATTGAAGCTATTTTATAATTATTAGTATTTATTCAATTTCATAGCAGTTAAATTAATTTATATTAATATTTATTAATATATAATGTATAATTTATTATATATTTAATAATTAATTATATAGTTCTACGTTTTGTTAAGATTATAAAAATTTTATACATGTATATATAAATATAAAATATGAGTACATATATTATGTTACATGTAGCTATACATTTCGAAAAAATGCGAATAACTATATCTAAATTGCAAGCGTAGTTGCCAGTAACGTATATAGAGTTAGTATGTTAATATATATAATGAGAGAAAAAAAATTTTCGGGTATGAAACTGCATGGAACATATTATCACCGTTTAAGCACTGGAAGCAGAGAAAAAATCTGGGATTATGTACACGTCAAGACATTTTAATATGCAACCATAATTTGTTATATATTATGCAACATACCTCGCCTATTAAATCGATTTCAGAAGTAGTGCTTATGATTACCATATAAGCCGAAGGGAGTACCACAGTTTTTAATTCTAGTTATAAAAAATGGTATAATTATAATTTCAAAATGTTATAATTATAGTTTTTCAAAATATTATAGTTTTACCCTAAATTTCCTTAATAGGTTAGAGTATGAATTATTATATGTAATCTATAAAATATAATTAAATAGAATCCTAATTTTTAGAAAACAATATTTTAGGTTAATTCTACACTATTATAATAGTCTTTAGATATCAACATTGTAATAATTTTAAACATGAAAATTATAAGGAGCAAATTTTGTAATCATGATTTCTTACCTTATGCATGTCCACTTTTGATATGTATACATAAGTGTTCAATATTATTCTTATTTTTTTCATTATATCACCTGACCTACCTTTCTATAATACGCACAATATTTATTGTAAAAACCAGTAGATATTGTCACGTATACTCTAATTGTTTTTAACAAATATTGAAATTGAAATTGAAATTTTTTTATATTGATAAAAATTTTAGTAATTAAACTGTATATATTCTGAGTTAAAGATTTAATATAAAATCACTAAGCAGTTTCATCATTTAGAAGATATGAATTTTAAATATATAAAAAGGATATCATTGATATCATTGACAATTTGGCTACATAAATAATTAATAAAGTACGTATCTCCAATCATAATTAAATTATGAATAGTTGATACGTCAAATAATAATTAAAGTAATTATATTACAATGGTTTTTATAAATATCACAGAATATAATATAATCAGAATACAAATAAATAAATGCCGGCTATACTAATGTGAAGATCAATAAAATTACATAATACAATTATGTAATTGAAACATGAATTTAATTATATATTTAAAAATAAATAAATTATTGATTATTTGAAGAATTTGTATATTTGTTTAATAAGTCATTATGGTAATTGTTATAAATTAAAATATTAATCTTATATTAAAGTAGCTTTAATCTCTGAAAAATTAATTAGAAAATATTTTAACAAACTATTATAATATTCTATTTTAACTATAAAATATTAAATGAACTGTAAGATTTATATTCATTAATATATATTATATATATATATTATATATATACAATAAATAATATAATTCTTTAAGGGATTTAGTACATAACCGAACTTATTAACCGAAAATTATTAGTTAAAAATGTTTAAAATTAGTTCTGCATTGTAGTTTTATATATTTATTTATAAATTGTAATAAACTGTAATGCATATTATTATATTATTTTATATAATAATCAGAAATTAATATAATTTATACGAGAATAATACTATATTTTTTACGTTAATGGATTACAATAAGCAACCTTTTTATAAAGTAATACTTATTCATTAAGCTCAAAAAAGACAATTCTTTTTTTCTTTACTAGGTTTTGTCTCTGTCAAATTTATTGTACATTTTAAATAATTAAAATACCAAAATGTAGTACTAATTTAGTTCCTTAATAAAAGAACAAAATAATGAAATTATTTTTCTGATTCAGAAAGTCAGAATTTTTTAATCATATATTTATTTTAAATTTGATAAATACAATGTTTTTATTTCATATTAATTTTAATTTTTTATCTTAGGAATTGAATTATGAAATTATCATGAAAATTATGAAGCAAATATTACTTTTTTATGTTTTTTTTAAAGAATAATACATTCATGACAGGAAATAGCACATTCATGATAATAAAACTCTGGAATCTTAATTCTGTTTTAATTTAATGGATTTTTATTTTTAAGCAATAGTATATGAATTTATATTTTATTATAATATAATTTGTTTGAATAAGTTATAGGTAATACTAATATCTGTTAATAATAATAATATAATCTGTTTTATCTTTTGCAGCTATGATTGATGGAGTCGAAGAGATTATTACCATCGGTGGATCGAATGTATGTACAGAAATAGTAGCTTCAGTTTTTATGGTTGTAGTTAAGATCTTAAATGGTTTTATAATTCAATACAAAAAAACAAATTAGATATATTTTCATCAAGGAATTTATTGTAATTTTATAATTAGATTTTTTCTTTTCTTTTATATACTTATTTTAAAAACTTATTTAAAAATTTTCTCTAGTTGAATAAATGATAAGAATTAATGTTGATATTAATCAAATAATGAAATAAATTTTTTCAGAAATTGCAATCGAATCTTTGAAAACTAAAATATTATAAATTTGAACGTTGAAGTTAAAAGGTCGAATGATGTATATAACTTTTTGAGGTCTATTATTGAGGTCTATACTGAGGTTGTTAAATGATCATAATTACTGTTAAATCAAGTGTTAATCATTTAACAAGCAATACATTCACTAAAGTACTTATGTTTTTTTAATTTTTAGTGTTTCTATTTATGTTTGAAGTAAAATATTTTGTTATATGAACTTAAGAATAGAACTGATGCACTTTGTTCAGAACACATGAATTTATTTATATATGATAAATTTACAGCATCGAAAAGATATGCTAAATAATTTTTTTCTTAAAATATTGCTATGATTCTATAGTTTACTAAACAGTAAATGCTAAATTAAATTTCAACATGTTTTAAGTTTCATAAAGTATATATCATAAAAATAGTCTATTTTGTATTATAAATGTTGAATTTAACTGCATATTCTTAAGATATATTATATATTTAACATAGAAATTTACGTTATAAAAATATCCTATATACGATATTTGTATAAATTTTGGTAAGTGCATATAATTGCAAAAAACATTGTTTCTCTCTATTTATTATATTCAACGCACATACATATATAATCGTTTTAATATTCTTATCTCGTCCTTTAATATATATACAGTATACTGAGAGTAAGAGAATAAGTCAAATCAAAATAATTTTTCATAAAACATTAATTTCTCTAAATAAATCTAAGTTTATATTATGACAGAAATTGTTATAATATTATTATAATTAGTCATTATAATATATATATATATATATATATATATAAATTTAAAATATTATTATATAGTATACATGAATATATTTATAATTAATAACAATAAACCATAATTTATATTGTTATTTACATATGTCTAAATAAATAAATAAATGACCGTAAGACTTAATAAAAAATTGTAAAGGTTAATAAAAAATAAGAAATGTTATATATATAGTTCTAATATTTCTTATTTTTATTACGTAATTAATTTTTAAAAAGGTTTATAATGTAGTAAGAATATTTTCCGTTGTACAAAAGAATTGTACTCTGTTGAATAAATTCTATATATATTTGCAGAAAAATATAAAATATTTTTATTGATTAAAAAACAGTATTTCTTTTTATATATAAAAAATACAATATTTTAAAAATGTAAAAGCTATAGTAATTACATCTATATGGAATGTAAATTTATAATTATAAATTTAAAATGCCATAAATTGAACATATTAATTGTAGTCGTGGGCAAAATTATTTAAACATTTTTAAATTTCAATAAAATTATAAATATATAAACAAAGTTAAATGTTCATTTAAAATTTAAAAATATGTTTTTTATTTAAAAAAATATAAGTCTTAATAATTGTTTCGTTATTTAATCTTCAAAGAACTTCAGATATATTATTCAGTGGTTATTGCATATTTAAACTATATTTATTTACATTCAGATTATTTAATTTAACTTAAGTTATAATATTTTATTAATAATAAAAATAAAAGTTTTTAATTTATGAGAATATTTACATATATTTAGTAAATTAAGTAATTATGATAATGGTTTTATTTCTATTAATATTGAATCATGTTCAACGACAACTAATTAATTGTTAAATTTTTTAAAAAATTAGTTAGTAATTATTTTTAATTGAATTTTAATTCGAATATAAAATGTAAAAAAATATTGGGTGCTCATCGTGTATTAATTTGTACTTATAATCTAAAAATGAGTGCTGATATATTTAATAAAAAATTTTCATTTAAAATTCTTAAATATAATTAACCAAATAATAAAATATAAATATAAAAAATAAAAATATTATATGACTTATTTATTTTATTAATATAGTATGGCATATAATATCCTAAAATAATTAAATAAATACCTTAGGTAAAAAATGTAAAAGGAAATTTGATGATGTTATAAATTCTATTAAAGACGGTATTTGGATATAATAACGTAATGTGATTAAAAAATCAATATTTCCGTCCAAGCAATCGCATTCATGGAAATAATAAGGTAAAATTTATAATTTATACTAATTTATAAGTTATACTTCAAAAGAGTTAAGTAGTATATTTTATAATACTTTATTGTTTAACTTGTACTGCACTTAATTAGTAAATGATATTAGATATTATTGATATTGTTACTCCTTTTCTTAATCACATATAAACACACGCGTGCACGCACGCATATACACATGTTATAAATTATATTGGTATGTACAGAAAAGTTTAATGAATTAAGTTTTTAATAAATTAATTTGATACTTTATGTAGTAATACATCAAATAATATATTTTCAGTTTTTGTAATTTAAAACATTTTAAATAGATTTGTATATTGTAGTTTATAAAATTATTCTTATTATTTATAAAATTATTGAAAATTAAAAGAATATTCGTATGGTTTTATATGAATATTTCTTATAATAAAAAAATGTAAATAATGTAAATATTTTTTGTTAGTACAAAAATGCACTTATGATAGTTAATTGGGAATTCGCTTAGAGTATTTTAAATTTAAATGCTTTAAAATTATTGCCTAATATTAAACATGAAAATAATATTCAAAAATATTATATATGTACACTATAAATAATACGCAGAATAAATTAGATAAATATAAAATAAATAATTTTTTGTATCATAAGATTTAAATTTAATCATTTATTTTGAATGCTATCTATTCAATCTTAACATTAAATATTTTCGTACATATCTTATAAATTTTTGTTTAAATATAAGTATTTTGTTATATACAGTACATAAATATTAAGATTAAACTGAACAATTTAACTTCAAAAAGTATAAATAATAAGTATAAAAATTCAGAAATATATATTACCTTAATTGAAATTAAATAATTGAAAAACTAGATACATTTTTGTAAAATAATAAATTTAGTAATAAAGGAAATATTTAGAATTTTATCAAAAAAAAAAAAAAAATTAAAAAAACCGATATGACATTTTGTTTATTTATTTATTGTTAAATTATTAAACAATCGATACATGGATGTTTACATTAAGGATGTGGTAATAATTAAAACTACGATTTTAAATAAAAAATAATTTTATATGAAAAGTTTTTTAAATTAATGTATATTAAATTGTAATGTAAAAATCCTTGATTTATTTTTGATTCGTTTACATAGAATTTTCCAAAATTTTATTAGTTTTGATAAAAGGTCTTCTCATTATATATATACTGCAATAAGATTCCAAACAAATTTCTAATTGATTTATAAAATTATTATATATTAAGTTACGTAAACTTTTTCAAATTAGATTAGAGAGAATCAATTTATCTTTAATTTGAGTATAATATTTATAACTATTAAAACATCATTAATAGAATTATTAAATTATATTTACTCACCTTGATTAAATAAAAAATATATATTAATTTAAAATCAAGAGACACATATATAATAATATTAAATATACATTTTTAATGTAAGAAATTCAGTTAAATATTAGAAATCAATAAAAAACAATTAATACCAAATTGTTTATTTAATAATTTGTAAAGTAAAATATTAAATATTATTTATTGTTTTAAAAGCTGAATATTTTTGTTATAAATCTACACCAAATATATATTATTACTCTTAAAAGACAACAATTTTTTTCATATTTTAGTTTTTTTAATCATTATTAAAGTTAATTATTGCATTTAACAAATGATTCAGATGATTAATATCGAATTGCTGAAAGGTACAATTAAGTTCATCCATTTCTGACATTGCTTTCTTTCCATATGTTCTGTATGAATGGATAAATCTCTAATTTATTGTATTTTCACTGCTTAACTTATTTTTTCAAGTTTGAACATTATTATAGTCCATAATAATATAATATATATAATTTGTGAAATTCTATATATAATATTAATGTTCTATAACATCATTTTTATTTATAAATTTTCAAGTATATGTGATTAATACAATTATAATACACAATTAAATAGACTAAAATAGATGATTATATATTATTATATATTATATATAAAAATTATTTATACTGGATTATACTAATAATATTGGAATATAACTTATAAAATTAAATTTTGATGAATTTCAAATTTAAAGAAATGAAATAACGCAGAAATTATTTGTTTATAAAATTATTTTTATGAAAATTATTCTATTTGTATTTTATGCCAATATATGAAGGATACCAAATTAAAAAATCATCTTTTGCTCTGTTCTATAAATATTTTAAACTGATATTTATTTTATTTATGATGTTCATGTTAAAAGTATTGTATATTTTTTTAAATTAAAATTATAAGTTTTATGTGACAAGATAACTAGTATTTTGTATTTTTCAATATTTTATAAGTAATAATGTTTATTGGTAAATCAAATATCTCATTCATGTATTTTATATTAGTTTTTAATACTCAATGGGAATTTATGCCTATTATATAACATTTATATAAATATCCGATATATATATATATCGTATTATGATTTCAAATCATTACTTTTATTGACATTTGAAGTTTGTAAATTATATATTTGATATATTTAATAATAGATGATATTCTTTAAATAAGTATAAACTGGTAAGTAATGTAATGAATTTAAAAGCACTATGAATGATTTTCATATTTATAATATTATTGATCTTAATGTTTATAATATTAATTTGTCAAAAAATTGATATTTAAAATTAAAATGTAAAAAATTAAATATTAATAACAGTTTTATAATTTTTATTTTATATTTAAAAACATTCATATTTTTCTTTATGGAATTTATCTGAATCATTATACACTATCTTTATTTTCTTCATTTTTGTATGAACGGAATGATTGGGAAGATACATTATAATCTTTTTCGATAAATTATGTGAAAAATAGGATTATTAATAAAAAATCAATTAGAGCTATAAATGCAAGCACGTTTATATTATTTATGTAAATTAATTTTTTTTTATTTTAATAATATAATTTATTATTTAATATTGTCATTATTATATCCATTATGTATTTATTTATTTCACTATATTTAATTTTAATAACAAAATATTTCTATTTACAATTCTAATATTGTAATACATATACTAGAGTTAAGTATTCTCTTGAAGATTAAGATCATGTATAAAAAGATTAAATTGTATAATTTATAAATATTTTTTTAAATGTATACGATAGAAAATATTTCTAATTATTGGAAAAAATAAATAATATGAAATATTCAATTCACAAGAAATAAAAGCAATTAAGATTTAATTAATAGGAAAATATGTATTTTAAATTCATATTCACTTGCGATGACAAATACGCTTTTATACATTTTTTATAAATAAAAATTACATTCTAGGTTATATAAAATTAATGTTGATCGTAAGTGTATGTTTACTCTATTATATAAGTTTCTGAATATATAATTTTGTTGTCATTTAATTTTCTATTTAACTATATTTTAATTTCTTTATAATTTGATTTACGATAAATGTTTTAATATTATCTTTACCAAAAAAAATTTAATATGTTACATTTCCAGTATTTGTAAATAATAAAATAATGGAAAGGTAATCGTTTATCAAAAAAATAACACCATATCATCACCAAAGATCATCTATCAAAGTGATATGCTGATCATTTATTCATTTTTAAATTTAGTATATTATTTACTTGTTTTTAATAACACGATAATGGTTGACAAATGTTAGAAATTGTATAATGTCTAAAATAAACACATTCATTATTGTTTGCTAATTTTCGTGTATATTGTTTATATGTATATTAATAATAATATTTTTAAATATATGAAAGAGCATTTCCAAGAATATGTTACCAATTTATAAATATAATGAGGAAAGAAAAACAATTGTGTGTCGAAATATATATGTCAGAATAAATATATAGTTTTTTTGATAAAATTTTTTAATAAATTTTAAGGAAATGAACTTATTGAATTAAATGTTTAATTATGTCATGATGAAAAAATTTCCAATTATTAAGTCTTATTCAAGAGGAAACGATGACGATTGTTCATATACAGAAATTGAATTTCGACAACCACTAACTAGGTTATTCTACAAAATTATAAAGTTCAATTTTTAATAAGAAAGTTGATTTAATTTTTATAAATCAAGTTAATTATTATTAATTGTTTATTAATTATTTTATTAATTGTATAAACTGGTGTCAGTTGAGTTTGAAACAAATTATAAATAATTATTTTAAATAAGAAAATATACAATTATAAAATAAGTCTTACTATTAAAAATTTATTACAAATATATTTTTTATTTTATTAATTGATTTTTTATTATATATTTAAAAAGGTTAATTATATAATTACAATTTTTTTAATAATATGCAGAAAACATGAAAATAGCATTATCTCGAAATTGGTATTAAATGCTGTCATTCATGCATTGGACGCATCATTAACGGCTTTATTATCACCTGTTATAATGTGGCAATGGCTGTCAAAACACGATCAATTTATGATTATGTTGAAAGTTATTTTTGAGGTATACATTTAAGTAAATTTAAATTTTTATATTTTGTCAATGATAAAATTACATAGTTTATTGCATAGCGCACTTTTGGAATTAAAATTACTTTTATTAAAACTATTAAAATTTTTATAGATAATATAGGAATATTTAAAACAAAGCTATCATTATATAAGTTAACATTATATTATATCTATTCAGTTTTTCTAATATATGGTGTGAAGTTAAAATACATTTTTTTTGTATTAAATTTTAAGAAAGTGTCCAAAATCCAGATATTAAATTGCACATAAAAAGTCATTTTATCACTTACTTAATATTGTCAAAATAAACATTTTAAATGTTTTCATAGTACTACATTTAATTGATAACATTTTTTGCAATTAAATATAAATGACGGGGTGATAACCTATCGTAAAAGTTACTGAATAATTTTCTTATCGATGCATCCTTCTATATAGACTTAAACTACTACTTTTATAAATGTGAATCTTTTCTATTTTTTATTTCGTTGTTTGGTAATAATACTTAAGTTTGTGCTTAAGAATATTAATATTGTACAATATTATGAATATTGTATGTTACATTAATAACTTAAAGCACGGAGTTATTTTTCAGTCCTAGATAAATTCATTGAAATATTTGTTTTATTATGTAATAGAAATTTATCTAGTTTCTTCCAAATTGTACAATATATATTTATTGAATTTAGTACTTTTTACCGTAGTATTTGTATTGACGACGCAAGCATATTATTTACAGTGTATATTTTATAGTACTTTTAATAATAAAATGGAATTATTATTCTTAAACTTTTATAAGTTTTAAGTGAATTGACTTCAGTTTTATTAATACATTTTCTATTCTACTGTCTTTATGTATATCCTCGTATTTTTATATCTTAGTTTCTATGATAGATAAATATTGAAGTAGTTTGTCATCTTCCGAAATAATATTTTATTTTAATATTCTTGTCCATTTGGTTACTTTTATTCGTGCTATTATATATTAGAAACGATTCAATTTTTTAATTAGAAACAAAAATATTTAGTAAATATATTGAAGTGTTATTGGAACAGTTATGAATTTGTCACTAATTCTATTTAAATCAGAGAATAATGTATGCTGAAATTACGTACAAATTACGTACATTTTTGCAAGGCACCTCTGCTCCCTAATTCCTCCTTAAGTTTTATTTAAGACAATATTTTTTTAATTTTTTTGTATTTAATAAATATCAGTAGTTTGGTACAAAGAAGTTAGAGTATTTTAATATAAATTGGATTATTTATTTATTTAATGAAAATTATAAAGACATTTTTTAGTGAATATTGTATTTATTATTAAATTAAAATATTTTTTTTTTAATTTGTACTAATTTCGAATAATACTAAGTTAAGTTAATATTAATTTGCATTCAGTCGTACAAAGCAATGGTTGAAAATATTTCAACATTCATACTTTAAGTTATGTTACTATATTTGGATGGATCTATAACTATTTAATTGCATTAAAAGATATAATTGATATTAAACTAATTTATTATTAAGTTTAACTATTAAATTTATTGTTTGTGTTTTGTTATATTTACAATCCAGTGAGAGGTAATTAATACATAATTTTTTTTAAATTGATTAAATTTTCTATTTATGCTGAATAGCTGTTTCAATACAGTTTATAATAATTAATAAGTTATCAAGTCGAATTAATTAACAAACATTTGTAAATTAAAAAGATATATTCTATTATAATATACAGAACAAATTTTCGTTTAAATAATAATCAGTTTAAATATTTAAATATTTTATTATTAAGGTATAATATTACTCATAAGCAATATATAATATGAATTTAATAAAACAATTTTTTGTTTTATTTTTTTATTTATTATTTTATTTTTTTAATAATCTCATTTTTTTCTTGTTCAGTTATCGAAAATATGTTTTCAAGTTGTAATATATACATTAATTAGTAATGGACCCAATTGCTCAACATCTAGTAAATGACGATGATTAATTTGATCGTTAATAAGATAGTTTTATAAAGATAGTATAATATTTCATGTATTTGACTTTTGCTTAGGTTGCCATAGAATTGATAATGTTGATCGTCTTTGCTGGAGTTTCTATTTTGACTACAGCAGCATTAATACTGGATGATTTCTACGATACAGAGAATTATAATAATGATTCAACAAAACCAAAAAGTGCTGATGAAAATTCCACAAAAATAACTAAAACGAGTTCATGAGATAAATTTATGTACATTTAATAATCATTATACTCCATTTCATATTACTCATTATAAATATTATGGATTTATACATAGTATATTAATTGTACAATAAAATCGATGCATTTTTAAATAAAATGTATAACTCATTACCCAAAAACTATAAAATCATTGAATTGTATTATTAAAGTTTTGAATACATTTAATTATCATTTTCAAATAAATCCTTTATTAATTAAGTTTTAATAATTATCAAAATATTTTTTCTTTTCAATGATATTCCAGAAGAAGAAAAGTAATTATATCTTAAAAAATTTGAATTATTATAAATTATTTTTTTATTTAAATTTTTGAATTAATTAAAGACTACTTTATTTTTAAGTTACATTATAACAAATATTTATTTTTCATAAATTCTAAATTTTGTTTAAATTAGTTATTAATTTAGATATAGATTGGAATATATATTAAAAATGTCTTATGTAACGGATTTGGATTTTGTAGTCGAAAGTTAAGGTAATATAATATAAGCATAATTAAAAATAATAAATTAAATGATAAAAGTTATTGTTATAATTGTAATTATTATATTATAATTATATAGAATAAATTATATTGAAAATTGTTTATTTCACTATTTACAACAGCTTTTGTATATACTATATTTATAAAAATAATTAATATTTGGATTTGTCCTAATTCCTACAATATATAAATATAAAATGAACAATTACTTGCCATTATAACATGATAAATTTATAGTTAGAATTTATATTTTTTCGCAAGATATAACTAATTTGTATTTATCAGTTTCATTATTAAAAATATAGCAAATTGAATGACATTAATACAATTAAGTCGAAGATAATGTATACTTCTCTTTGTAACAAGTTTTTTAATTTCTAATTAGAAATAAATATAAATAAAAAAATTATATTGTTTCGTAATACAGAAATATAAAATATATATAGTATTTAAAATTCTTTCACTAATGCATTTGTAAAACTGTGTAGTTTATTATTAGAAATGATTGTAACTAAATACTACATAAAACCATTAAATTCAAAAGATAGAACAAATAATCATGTTGTTTCTGTAAGAAATACTGAAGAACAAAATTGATAAATTTGTTTTATTAATTTTTATATTTTCATAAACTATAATATAATAGAAAAAATTAAGAAATAAAAGAGTTAAATATATCATGATTGTCTAGCCAACTAGAGGCAATCATTGACGTTATTTATGCAAGAATAATTATTTAAATTATGTGAATATTAAGTATGTACTTTATTACATGATTATTAAAAGATAAATTCGACAAATTATACGAGTTATATTTATATTTATTATTATTAAAATATTTGATTAGCTATTATCATATTTTATGAATACAGTAAACAATTAATAATAATTATCGATTTATTTATATTAAATCGATAATTTCAATTGTATTATTCGATATGCTAACATTTTTTCATATTTTTCATAGAAAATAAAATTAATTTAAAAATTTTATGTAATAAATTATGGTTACTTTAATTACATAGTAAAAAAATTATATTTATCTATATTTATCCATAGAATTCTAAGAAAGATTTTTTCTTATCATATGAAAATTATGTGAAAGCAACAAAGGAATGTCAAACTTTGATAGATATCTCAACTCAGAATGAGTTTGGTTATTGCAACCATTCAAATAGCTCAAGGATAGAAAATGTGGGAAAGTAATTTCTTTTAACAGTTCAACTACTGCAAGTATAAAAGCTAGTTCAATACAATTTTGAGCCCAACTCGTATAATTCTCCGCATTGAACGTTAATATAAAGTCCTTTCAATATGAAGCATTTTATAGTGTTTATTTATTTGGTAAGTAATATGGAATGATTTTATGACAACTTTTTTATTATTACTATAAAAAATATTGAATTAAAAATACATTATAAAGTTTTAAATAATAATTATTTGTTATTTATTCATCGCTATTAAATTAAAAATAGATCTTTAATAAAGTAATGAATATAATTTTTATAATTTTAATGTTTGTGAGTTTATTTATAACAAAAAGATTATGAAAATTTATGAATCTATTTCGTAATATAAAAATTCAATTAAATTTAATATATAATATAATTTTTAAAATAATGAAAGGATGGTGACATTTAACGTTCTTGAATTACGTAATTATTTTTAATTTCTTTTCATCCACATATAAAATTTTATTTTTCTATAAAATTTAGTTTTATAAATAATCCAATCACAGATTATGAAATTACATGAATTTCAGACTTTATGTTTGGTAAGCAGCTACAGCATTAATGTAAAAGATTCTATCGATCCTGTAACAAAAATTATAAATAAAAAGGCGGGAGTTATAAAAGGCACTGACATTATTTTCAGTACCAGAAAAAGTGCTATGAAAGATTTAAAGCAGTCTATAGGATTGAAAAATAAAGCATTTTTTGATAACATAAAAACAGCTGCTAAAGCCAAAATTGATTTTGTTAGTAACATAAAAACTTCCAAGTTGTCAATACTCAAAGATGTGGCTGCTGCAAAATATGCGAAGCTAGCAACAATCCAAGCCGCAAAGTCTGCTCTGGTCAATACTTATTTTAGTACAAAAAAAGCTCAATTGAATAAAATAATTGGAAAGATCTCAACAAAATCCAAGGATTTTTTAAAATATACACTGCCTATTAAGGGTGAATAGAATGTTAACATATTTTTTTGGTAAGAACTCATAATATGTACGGAAATTCATCAAATAATTCACTTCAATTAATAAATAAGAGTTTTTATATATAATAAGTATACAATGTTAGAACAAATTCTATATTTAAAAATGTTTTAAAAGTTTTATTTGTTTTTTGGCATTTGAATAAGCTTTATTTTATGCTTTTATTTAAATTTTATCGTAGATCCAATTTAAACAATTTTAAAACATTATAAAAATTCTAAATAATTTAAATATTCACTATTATTTACATCTAATTTAATAAAGTAATTGAACAATTATGTGAATTCTTTTTAAAATTTAAATATAATATTATATATTTTAAACCATTCTAAAATATTTCATAAATAAATATTTTTATATTGAATCAGATTATATTTGCATATTTATTAAATAATATTAATTCGATAAATCAATTTTTGTAAGGTATAAATAATTATATATATGTCTAATAAGTTACTGTTACGTGATTATTGTATATTTTATTATTTTATTAATTTAAATTTTAATTGTAAAATATCTATTATGTATTAAAATCACATATTAAAAAATAAATATCTAAAAAAGTTCTAATCTGATATCAAGAAATAGGTGTTAATAATGTATATGTATGTACTTCTGAGAAGGTATTATATTTCTAAATTTTACTTATATTTTGAAACATTATAGAATATTTATTTGTTCTTAATAGGTACGGTGACAAGCTTATTTAATGATGTATACAAAACACAAAACGAGTTATTAAAGAAGAGGGTAAACCTCTCATTGTTTCAAGATTTAGTGATCGCGAATAACGCTATTAATAAAATACGTTTTCCTAATTCTACCAATCAATTAAACAAATTTCATAGATACCTAAGTACTGAAAGCTCCATTGTTGACAAGATTTTTGTTCAGAAATTGCCTATATATATTAGCGAGAAAACCACAGATGAAACCGGGCAAAGGTGAGTTAAATAGCTCCTACAGGCGGCCTGCTGAGACTTATGAGCCTCTACTCTCTGACGTATACCTAAATTAAATATTGATTGTAAATTAAAGATTGATAAAATTACTTTTGAATTGTAAAATACTTTTTAAATCAATTTAGTTATTTGTTTTGTGCTTTGAGCTTTGAGTTACATTTTAAGAACATACATTTGGAGAGTGTAATACTTAACAATGTATAAATTTATATTTTGCATCTTATTAACTATAAATGATTCAAATTTTTTCTTCAGCACTAATTGTATTTCATAAAAAAATTTTTATTCGAAGAAATTTTTTTAACAAATAATTTATGTAAATTTGTAATTCAGTATCGTAACCTTTCTCAATTATAAATAATTAAAAAAAATATATGTATATATATGCCATTAGTTATGTATTTATAAACATTTAAATAAATTTAAATCAATGAGCAATTCAATTAAATTAATAATTTCAATTAGACTATTTTAAATTATTATAATATTTTCTCATTTATATAAGCAACGTGTTTTACATTTGCGTTTTTTTGTTTATATTATTCATGAAATCAATTTTTATTATAATCAAATATACCCGTAGGTATTATATCCTCTAACAATTAATTTACATTTAATACGGTAATCACCATAGGTAATTAAACTATTTAAGCATTAATATACGTTAATTTTCGTATAGTTTAATACCCGAACTAATTTTTTATTATAATTTTAATAAAATTATTTCATAATAATTTAATAAAAATATACTTTATCAAAGAGAACAAAGAAAACAAACATAATTTATAAACTCAGACTAAGCTCATTAATTATATTAATGACTAAAACATTTATTATATTTCTTGCAAGTGATGAGGAACAAAGGTTCACTTTCTCGTACGTGATTATGTCACATTTAGGGTAATATCTGTTAATTACTATTCCCTTCTTATTAACTGTAATGTCTGCATCAATCCATATTATTTTAATATTATTATTATTGTTGGTAAGGTACGGTTATATAAAAGAACATTTTTTTTTATACTTATAAGCATATTTTATACAAAATATTAAATAAATAAAAGGTGTACGTATTTATAATATAATATTGTTGAATATTATATATATTAAATATCATAAATATATAGTATATTTTACTATTATTAATATGTTAATACTGATAAACTATTAAACTTATATTAATATTAATAGTATATAAATAATTATGTTATAATTAATAGTATTTTACTTCATTATATATCTTTATTAGATTAATACTTAAAATATTATTCATTTTACTTTTTTTTACGATATATATCGAAATATTTATAACTTTAGATAATATTTATATATTAAATAAATAAAATAAATAACTATTAAATTAAATACAAAAATTACCTTTTTCTATCAATATTTATTAATGCATATTTATTTAAAAACAAGGGTAATTTGTTTCCTTAATAATGTGTACTATCAAAACAATATTTGACTTTATTTTATCATTTTCGGATTTAAATTCATGTAATTTAAATTATTAATTTATTCTAATAAATACTTGTCTATTATTTTACTTGTCTATTACTTGTCTATTATTTTCAGGAATATATGTTAAATTTGCTTCTAATGAATAGACTAAGTAATGTTCAAATATATATAAAAATAAGATCTAATAATTTATTATAATTGTGGTATGTGTTAATATATTGTTTTATAAGTAAAGTAATATATATTAATTAAACCTGCAGTTCCTTATTTCTCGTAAATGTTGTAATCTTCTAACATATTATTTAATGAAATTACAATTAAAAAAAATTAGATTACAAAGTTTATAAGAGCATTCAATCAAATGTCTTTGATGTTAAAATATTATTCAATAAAAATTCATTATCACTAAAACTAAGCACAAAATAAATTATCTTCAATTCTCCTAAAACATTAAATCTACTTTATCAAAATTAATATAATACTAACAAAATGATTTAATACTTAATGAATATCTTGTGATCGATAAGTTATCAAATTAACTGTTTTTCCAAATGATTATAATTTTAATGATATAATTTATTTTCTTTATATATATTGAAATTTTTTGTTTATAAATTAAATAAAAATTATGGTATAAATATTATACGTGTTTCTATTTATCATTAGTTCAATTCATAATATATATCATAGATTGAGTTATTTGAATTTTAAATTATTGTTTATTTATATTTATAATATTTGCGTGAATTATATAATTATTTATCACAATTATATACAACTGAACACGTGGGTAAAACTGTATGCTTTTTATTCATTTCTTGTAAGGCTTAAGTAGAATTCATCTGTGACGCATATTTTTTATATATTTAATTTTATAGAAGTCAAGAAATTTTTATTGTATTTTCAATTAATATTTAAAATTAATAAAAATATATATATATTATAAATTAAAATGATAAATGTTATAAGATAATTAACCATAATAAAATATATTTTATGGTAAAGAACTTAAAAATTGATTAGAATTTTTTTTTTTTAATTATAAACATTTAAAAACGAATCACAAGAAAAAAAAACAATATAGTAATTTAAGGTATATTTTTAACTTTTTATAAAAAATTTTTTCAAGATAGAGAATTTAATAATTACCAAATTCTTTAAAAAATACATGGAAGATTTTTGTGGAAAACATCAATTTTTAAACAAATGAATATATTTTACTGAAATATAATATTCAACTATGAAAAATACATTTCTAAATTTATAAGATGTGTATTATTATTAAAATATAATATATTTATACAATAAGCAATTTTAATTTAATTTTTTGAAAGTTAAAAATGAAAAATGGTGGAAATAGCTATCGCATACTTATTTTCTATAGCATTAGCTAATTCTTCGGGAAAAACCTTGACCCAAGGAGATGAATTTTTTTCCTCATTTGACAAAAGTATATACAAGTCGAAAAAAATGTATATATGCATTTTTGTATGAAGCCTGTTTCTATTAATATTATTTTAAAAATAACATCAATGTAGATAATATAGGCTATCTCAATAACCTTTAAGTCAATGTATAGTTATTTTGTGAGTATATAAGATGAATATTTTCGACATGCAATTACAGACGATTCAGCGATTACCAACATGTTAAACAAATTGGTAAGCTCAAATAGCCATTGACACCTAATTTTATTATTACTATTATTATAATTGCAACAATATCATAGTTGTCGACGTAATATATAATCAAATAAATAATATAATATATTTCATTCTATGGTATACAATTATATAATGATTATGTACTACGTGATGCATTTCTCATTATTATTAATAAATAAATTAAATTATCTATATTTTTAAATTTTATTTATAATAATATAAATGTTATAATAAATATTTTAGCCCATTATGTTTCATTTACCTCACTAGCTTATTAGATTTGACTAAGTGACTACATTGTCAAGTATAAACCAATCAAATAAATGAATAATTTTTATATTTTACTATTTTAGAATATTATACATATTTTAATATGCCTTAGGATTATATATATATATAATATGAAATTTATGGCATTAGAGAATAAAACTGTAATCCTATTATTGTAAATATTTCTAATTTAATTATTTTTAACTTATAGTTCTTAATCATATAATACATTTTATTTTTATACAATCAATTTATTATGTGACTAATAATTTTCCAGATACTTTTAATTCTGGCAATCATTGCCATTGTAATGGCAGAACATAGTGAATATAAGCGTGACCTATATGGTGATAGTCAAGGAGGCTATGGTGGTGGTCAAGGAGGATATGGTGGTGGTCAAGGAGGATATGGTGGTGGTCAAGGAGGATATGGTGGTGGGTGGTCAAGGAGGATAGGAGGATATGGTGGTGGTCAAGGAGGATATGGTAGTCACAATGGACAAAATGTCTTTGCTAACGGCGAAGGGCGAAGGGAATATGGTGGTGGACAAGGAGGATATACTGGTGGGCAGGGAGGATTTGGTAGTAGGCAAAGTAGTCGACATAGTGGACAAGGCGGATTTGGAGGTGGTCAAGGTGGATATGGTCATAGAGGTTATTAGATAATATATTTACAGGGAAATGAATATGTAAGAATCATCTTTGTTTGGAGAATTTATTATCTGTAACACTTTGATGTAGTATTCAAAAGGTAGATATTTAAGCTAATACTATCACACTTTCAATTTATTAAACTGTATTTATAACGTCTCCTTAAAATAATAAATACGATTTCTATTTAAAACGATCAGTTTTCTTCTTATTTAATCTTATTTCAATATTATATATATATATATATATATATATATAAATTTTCGAAGTATATGAGAATATAATAATAATTCAAAAAATTATTTTTTATTTTTATTTATTATCTTTATCATTATCAATTTGTTATGTTCAATATCTCGTTAAATATATTTAATATTAATATTTAGATTTTCATTTTCATTTACCATTTAGGTAAAATAAACGGAGAGACAATTGTTAATAATGATAGGTAAATATGGAAAATAAATTTTTATAATATCTAATTATAGAATCAATATTTTCTTTTAATAATAGCTTGCATAAATCGGTGAGTTTTTTATAACATTATACATCAATATAGATTTAGAAATATTTTAAGTCACTCTGTTTCTGAGTATAACATATATTATAAATAAATATATACAGCCTTAATAATCAAAATGTTAATAACTTATTGTGCAATTGTTTGTAAGTGAAGGTTACATGTATAAAACGTAAGTGTATATTTTAAGTTATTATTTCTGCTTTAAAAAATGTTATACCATATTCATTCACATAGTTTTTCCCGATTTTTATATCAAGTATTATTGAAATGCTTAAATTATTTCATATTTTTTTATTACCTTCATTTTAATGTTATTAGAAATATTTATTTTATCCTTTGAGCTAAAAGTGGAAATTTTACTGGCATTATTTTGTATTTTTTAAATATTTTTCTTATTAGAAATATTATTATTTTTTAATATAACTAATTGTTATCATAAACAATCTATAATAGTAATTAAAATTTTTATTAATTATTTTATACAATAATAACGTTCTTTTATTTTTAGATTCATTTATTAAACTATAATATATAAATATCTTTTTTATTATACATATTAAAACTTCTTGTTAAGTATCATTATTAAATAATGATACTTTATTATGAATTCAATGTACATTTATTAAAATAATAACTTTACTGTTAAGTATACTTCATTACAAATATAACCTCTTATTCTTAGAGAAATTCTCTATTTTTTCCAAATTCAATAGTTTTCCGAATTTCATAATAATGTTAGAATTTATTTTACAAGTATAATTTTAATAATTATTCTATGAGATCTATAATTTCAAATTTATTACTGTTTATTAAATGTCATAATCATAAAGAAATTATAAAAGAATAATTCTAATATTATTTATAATTTCAAAATATATTATATTTTATATGATTTATATAATTATATAAATTATAATTTTTTCTTCACATTAAGTGTTTTATAAGTAAAATATATTGTTATATAGTTGGGTAAGTTATAATGTTTTTGTAATGTAGTAAAAATTATAAGATTAAGTTTGACGTCAAATGTTTATAACGTCATTTTTAAGAATATCTTATTTATTTATGACTAGGATTTTCAAAAAATTAAACGTTAAAAAACTGTACCGATAATTTTTTAAATCAATTTTATATATATTTCAATTGTCGAATGTTCATAAATTTTTGTAATTCAAGGTAATCTTGTAATAATGTAATTTATATAAAAAATAGTTATTATAATAGTCAATAAATCAAATATATTAAAAAGTACATGAACATAAAATTGTTTTTCTTTATTTATTTGCAAATAATTGTATAAAATCGACAGTGCTATTATCTAATACGAAAAGAAAAATTTCATGGTCACTTGCTTTACACACATGCAGATGCATAACGCATGAAACACAAATAACTAAGATCAATATAAGAATGATTTTTTATTATTATCTTTCATTCGAAAAACAACGCGCCATTTATCGAGTTATTTATTCTACGAATTACATTTTTTATCAGCATTGAATTTTTGTATCATAATCAGAACAGTGAATAAAATTAACAATTAATCCTTAAATCTTTTGTTTATTTTAAGAAAATATTTTTTTAACTGTGAATTTAACAAAATAAGAAATATAAGATTAAACTATGATAGAATTTCTTATTTTCCTATGTTATCAAGTATTGTTTTGTTTATCTACGTGAAAAAATTAAGTGCATTTCATACTTCACGACATCATTAATTATTATATGACGCTACACATAACTTACATTGGAATATATAAAGTGTGTTCAATAGCTTACTTAGTGCAGAATTTTTGCACATGCTTAATAAGTCGCATACTTAACAATGTTAATGATCGGGAGACTGCATGCACTTAGTTTTGTCATCCTTATGTTTAATATTGCCAATGAAAGTTCATCTCAATTTTGGAGACAATTTAATGGATATCCGTATCCACAACGTCAAGGCCAGAATTTTAATCCAAATTATGAGTCAAATCATCGTGGGTTTCAACAGCAGAATGGATTTGAAAGTAATTTTCAGTTACCTCCTGGTGTTTCGATGTCGCAAGCAGAATGGGTTTGCAAAAATCCGAAGACTGGTGATATGGTGAGTCGAACGATATATTTGAATAATGGATCATTGTTTACCTTATTTATATAATATTAGAATGCTAGATATAAAAAACTTTATTGTTTAGAAATGCTATAATTCAAATATGTCAGTAGATTATTAAAAGATGTAGAGGTAAAATATCATGAAGAAAATCTCAATTGAATACGTGATTTTTTTATATTTATATTTAGAATAATTAATAATGTGAAATGTTAAAAAAAAGCGAACAAAGTTTTGATTAAAAATTATTTTTATTTTATTGGAATATTTATTTACATTAGGATGATATTTTATAACTGTTATAAAATTATATATACGAAAATTATAATAGCTAACAATATCCACAGAAAATAAACATTATAAAAAAATTCTTCGAATTACTTGAAGTCCTTAAATAATTTTTCCAATTAAATGAATATAGTATTAATAGGTTAATAACTATTATGTAATTAATTAATTTATTAATGATATTTAAAGGGAATGCTTAATGTTTAACTATTTTCTCTATTAATAAAAATATTGATTAGTATGTCAATTATTATTAGTTTTGAAGATTTGAACATGATAAAATCAATATTAGTATAATATTAATATTATAAAAAAATTTATAAACAGCAGCGCGCGCACGCACACATACACACACAAACAAACAAATACATATGCGTGCGTGTGCACGCACACATATGTTACATAGATTATCACTTAAATTGTAGATAATTTAATGATCTTCATTTTCAAAACTTTAAAAATATTAAAAAATATTGTCAAATTATATTTTTAAATTTTGTAAATTTCTATATTTTGTTCATATTTATAAATTTAAATAATGCATTAATACTTATAAAAATGTATACATGTACTGTAATGAAAATATATTTTATAAATTTTTAAAATAATTATAATTGTCAACAACTTATTAATAGTACTTATTCAATTGTATTTAAATTTTGGTATGTCAACTTTATTTATAAATATTTTCCAGATGATTGTTGCTTCGGAAGAAAGTTCAACACCGAACATCGGAAATAATGCTCAAAATCAGTGGTACTTGACTAATTTTTCTACAGTACAGCCTTCAACAAGTAGTCAAGTATCTTTGAACCCTCAAAATAAGACGAATTTTCTGCAGACTGAAGAATCCATTCCTAATCCAGATGGTAATTTTAAAATTTATACACTTTTTTCTAATTTTATAAAAATCTTATTAATGTGCAACAATATTTTATTATTATTTTAGAATCATACGATACCAACGGCGAAGGAATTATCGATATCAGATTGGGTGATAAGAAAGCATTAAATAATGAAACTAAACAAAATTAGTAACATTAAAAGTTACATATTAAAACATAATATTTATTAATATTAATTAATACATTAACAATTAATAATAATAGTTTAAAAAATATTATTTTTATAAAACTTAAATTTATGTATATTCAATATTAATAATTATATAATTTTTTTAATTTACAACAATTGAATTTAATATTTAAAATATGCATTTTATAAAAAAAATTATAACAATGTAATTTTAAATTATTGTCTAATCTAAATGTTTATCAGATGTATCAATTTATCTTATATATTTCTTTGAATTTTGAATTTGAGTTTTGAATTATGTAAAGTGTATTCCTGTAATGTATTGTGAACAGTGTTTAAGTGTACTAGTGCTGTCTATTGGTTTTTTGTGGTTATCTAAGTACGATAATAACAAATAATATAGATAATACTGGCTATAGTCTATTGTTTTGTAAAGAAGAGGTAATTCAGAGTTACATACGATGTTTTGTCATTAGGATTTTTGATCTACGAGATGAATTAAGTTTTTTTCATATTATTTAAGTATTAAGTAGCTAAAAGAGAATTCTGATGATGAATGGTTCATTTATTGTGGTCGCTTAATACTTACATAAATTTGAAATGTATTTATATAAAGAATACAGATCAAATATTATAAATATGAAGTAAAATTGGAAAATATTAAATAATGAATATAAAAAAGGTTTTCTTAATATAATTTCAAACCTGTAATTAATATAATCTGTATAATGTATATCAATATTAATTCAAAATAGATAGCATTTGACCGTCACTTTCAAATTATGAATATCGTATAAAATTACTATAAATTAATCTCAATTCCGAAAGTTTCGAATGAAAGAAATAAGTCGAACAAGTTGATACGCATTTTATAATTTTATTTTTATACATATATAACTTGCCTTTATATAACATATTATATATATTAAAATAATTATAATTGAAATGTTACTTAAATAAAAAATGTATAGATTACCTCATTTTGCATTATATGTTTAAATATTATTAATTATAAGAATTTTATAATTACAATTAAATTTAGTATATTTATAATAAAATATTTAGTAATTTTATAACTGAACTATTATCATTTTATTTGAATTGAATAAAATAAAAATCAATAAATATAACTTAATTCTGTATTGCTTTAAAAATTTTAGTACAAAAACATTAATTCTAAATTTATAAATTAAATTTTTGACAATTTAATCAGATAATGTAATAATTTAATAATTTAACTTTCATATATATATTTATTATTAAATATCAAGCAATATAATGACATATGAGGAACATCAGTATGATATATTCAAATTAATAAAAATAAAATATAATTTAATACTATAAATTATGAAAAACATTTAAATTAAAAAGAAAACGTATTTTATATGAAATATAAAAATTTAAAATATAAAAATTTATAGGTTTTTTACAATAGAAAAACATATATTAAAGTTCCGTAAAAAAATCGACATTAAACAATTACATTAAATTATATGTAAAAATTCGTGTTAAAATAATTGTTTGAAAATTTTCAGATTCTTTGAAGCCATTAATATTTTTTAGATATGTATGATTTTATGAAGACATGATTTTATAATGCGAATCACTACCGACCGTCCTACCTATATATTTATTTTTCTTGTTTTGTTATGAATTAAGTTTAATTAAAATTTTAGTTTTCTTAAATATTATTAATAAAGCTTTGATCAATTAGTTTACAAAGACAAATTCATAAATTTAATCAAAAATAACATTTTGCAATTAAAATTCTTTACAAGTAAAATAGATTATTTTTTATGGCTAAGAATTTAGTAACTTTATGAAAGTAATCAATTTGATACAAATTTATTTATAAATAATTAAATAATAATCAAGTAAAAATTCAATTTAATGAATACAATAATTTTCAAAATACTCATAATTTACAAAACTGATTTAAAATCAGTATTAATCTTGCTATAAACTGCTGTATGTTACTTAATTTTTTTCTAACATTTCAATAAATAATAAAATATAAATAATGATGCATTAACACGAAGCTAATTAAATATGAATGAAGAAATATACATTATTTACTATTTTATGTTATAAATAATTGTTTTTTTTTATAATGCAAATCATCGGTAACAGCATCTAAGTATGATAGAATTTCTAAATTTTTCTATATATTCTATAAGTAATTGAGGATTATAAACAATAAATATTATAGCAATAATAAGATATATTTTGTTCATAAAAAGTACTGTTTCCTAAAGAGGTAAACAATTAAAAATTATCTATTAGATTAAAGGGTATTATAAAATTAAGAAAATTTTTAAATATGCGAATAGAAAAGTTTGAATCGTGTCTTTACAAATATAGAAACATTATTTTATTACATTACGTAACTAGTCGAATACAATTAGTTGCAGGCATTATTTAATGCAAATGTAATACAATTTTTTCAATGTCAATAATAATAAGTGTTTACGAAAAAGCAAGTAGTGCGGTAAACAGTACTGTAAAAAAGTACATTGAATAACTTTCAAACGTGATTCAAAAGATGATATATGATTAGCTAGAATGCTATATTTGTACATATTTTTACAAAATTTGCTGTAGATTTAAGAATGTGACACATTTATGCATATACAATCAATTTAATCTTTGGCATAATTTTTATATAATAATATATATTATAATGTAATAAGATTTTCAGCTATTATTTATTGGATTAAATAATAAAATTGCAGACTAATGTTGCTCAAACGTATATACAGTTATATATATTTCTACGATTTTTATATATTAATACGCTGTGCATTCAAAAAGAATAAATATATAGATGTCTGTAATGGACAGTACACACATTTATGTTGAGTGAAAATATTAAAACCTGAGTTGGACCTATGAACGAGATCAATCAATTTTAACCTTTTATCATATATATAACAATATTTTCTTGTATTTCAAAGTTTTACTACCATCAAAAAATATGTAAATCCTAGTTATCAAGATAATATTTGGATGAAATCATCAATGTGGTAATGTCATTCATCAATTCACATCAATATTTTTTTTATCATAGAATATTATTGGAACGCAATATTTTTCAGTAAACCATAATGTTAAGGTAATAAACTGGAATCATTGTTATTCAATGGGATAAATAACTCACTGAAATATGCATACAGGAATGTCATTCAACACGCCTTACATCGTACCATCTATATATTTTTCTTCGTATTTATTCTTAATCACATTATTTTTTGTATTAAAAATTTTTTAAAAGATAATATCATATTTTATTCTTTCAAACTAGGAATAAGATGTTTTAAAAAAATTTTGTTCACTATAAGAAGAAGAAGATTTTGTTTTTAATAAAAAGAATATAATATTTGATTATTGATAAGTAATATTTAATATTTATTTCTTTTTATACCATATCCGCCTATAATAAAATTTATAAAACTAGTGAGCATAACTTTTTATTTTTCAAGTATATATTTTTAAATATATCTAAGTTTTTGCCTTTACCAATATATTTTGAATATTTTCGATTCTATCAGAAAAATGTTGAGTCCAATATCTACGTTAATATCAAACTTTTAATAAAAACAAAGTAATAAAATTAAAATTAATCTTTAAAAGTATATTTCATTCATTTTACATTTACAATTAATTATATTTCCGTTTAAATCTTTTACAGATCATGCAAAAAGTGTAATAATGTATTTATAATGATATATAAAGTTTACTAACCAAACAAGAGAATTGTTTTCAAATATTAAGAAACTAAAAGCAGTTTTTATAATTATTGATTTCATCTGTGGAATAGATTATACATTATTTTATTACGATAGAAATAAAAATATTCGTTTTATTTTACTTGAATTTTTACTAAAAAAATATTTTATTCATTTAATTATTTAAATGTATAATTATTGAGAGATTAATCAGATATCTAGTTAGAATGAATGCATTACTAAATGATTTACACATTATATATTGTCATATTAATATAAAATTTGAACTGTAAATTAATCGTCTTTATATTCATATCTTTGAATTTTTTCTATGAAGTTATATAAATGTGAATATATTATCACGATACATAAAACTCATATTTATGATGATTCAAAGTTATTTTTTTAATGTTACCAATGATTTAGATGTTTAATAATTTTGAGTTATATATACAGTTTTGAAGATAGATTCATTCCGTTCTGATACCTAGCAAGATGTAACGGAAGATTCATTGAACAAAGCATTCAATTGTAAATGTGGACTTAATTCAAAGGATTCATCAATGCTATCATTTTTTTACTTTTACACACTATTTTAAAGATTGTATATATATTGCTCTTCTGTTTTGGTTTATTAATTGTAGAAGCTGTATAATTTATTCCTTTAATAATCAAATTCAATTAATCCTCTACTAATTAAAGACGTTCAACCCTAGAACCCTACAACATCCAATGTTTGAATTTCAAGATTTTTCAACTGATATAATTTCTATAACTATATATATTATTTGATCAGATTCATAGTGATGAAAAGATGTTTTAATAATTAAAAAACTAAAGATTCATCAAATATAATTTTACTATTATTATAGTATCTTTGATCAATATTAAAGTTATTAAATATTCTGTTCATTATTTTACTACTCATAATTAAAAAAAATAACTATATATAAATAAAATTATGAATATTGTTTCATAAATGATCAAATATATTAATTAGTATTTTTACTGAAAAACAGTTGAATTAATACCTTTAAATTTTAGTTTAATAATTGTTAAAATAAATTATATTAATAATCTGCTTTGAATATAATTTATATAAATTAATTTCTTCAAATGATGAATTATACAATATTTTTAATGATTCATTTAAAATTTTTGTTTACTCTTGTACATTTTAAAGATTCTAACCTCTAAGTTGTTTTTAACATTTTGGTATAAATTGTTTTAGCTTTATATTGGATAAAATTTTCAAAATAATAACAAAATAAATAATTATTCATTTTAAAATT